TAAGTACAAAAAATAAGAACTTCCGCGAGACTGCTGCGCACCTACCGCGAGAATTATGCGCGCGTCAGGGTTTCCGCTAGGATTTTTTCTCGCCGGTCAAATGTCCGAACAGAATTTATTTTACCGGACAAATTTGAAACTTACCGGTCATGTTTCAATAATAATAATAAGAGTTGTGTAGCAGAGTTTCCGTTAGCAGGTAATTACCGGACTATGACCGGATATGCTGAGGTTTAAAACTCAGTTAATGGGAGTCATTTTTATATTGCTTCAGTTTATAATCGTAACAGATCGAAAAATTCAGATTCATTTTTCAATAAATGATTCCACAAACAACAAACAACATCATTATTACATTCAAAGAAACTACTTGTAGTAGCCTAGATGAAGTACATTATTCAAAAGTTTACATTAACTTAAGAAGAATAACACGGGAGAAACGGATCCTCTCTTTTCCCTTCTCTCCTGACAGCCCGTCAGTTTCTCATGCAGCGCACTAAACAGTGGGCGGTGCTTCAGGTAATTATAGAGCAGCTGATCTGATCTCTCTCTCACGTCCGGTTATACTTCACTCGCGTTTATGTCCATATCGATCAGATCCAGCTCTCCTGATCGGCCTTTATAGAGAGCACCGATCAAACTATTAAGAGTGAATATTGGCCGATAATGACCGGCGGGCAATCGATAGGAGCATCGGACATTTTGACCGGCAAGTTTTGAATTTACCAGTTTTTATTACATTTTACCAGCTAAAAACCGGTAATTACCGGCTAACGGAAACCCTGGCGCGCGTGCCGCAAGGGTGCCGCTTTCATACTGAGAAAGTGTTGCTTTATCTTGATGACACAATACTAATACCATACTACTCTTCATGGCTAGAGAGCTTTATATATACAGTAGGGATCGACCGATATGCCTTTTTCAAGGCCGATACCGATACCAATTATTAGTAATCAAGGAGACCGATAACCGATATACATTTGCAGTAAAATCAGAAAATGTTGGTGTCAAAATGTAGAATAACACAAACTCCAACACAACTTCTTTGAAATACATTTAAGCATATGTTATGTTTAATGAACTTTTAAACATCTTACAACTGGTTTCATCTCTGTGCCCTTTTCTTTAGTGCAGCCATCTGCAATGAGTTAGAGAGAGACAGAGAGTTAAAAGTGGGGCTGCAGGCTGACATGCTGAACTAACAATAAAGCTTAATTTATTATATCATAACAATGCCTGTCTATCTAGCATAGAATCCCAATAAACACTAGTGCTCCGCACCACAATTACTCCGCTGCGAGACGCTGCACGCACCCCCAACTCTGACTGACTTCCCGCGTCCCTGTGTAACTGGGAAACCTTTATATATACAGTCTATGTGGGAAACTGATAGAATTGGATCATAAGATCGTGGTGTTTTTGCAACTTCGGCTTTCAACTGACTTACCTTCGAAATAACACATGTATTGCTCTGCCGCTCAGCTGCTTGTTTCAGTCTGTAGAGGTTTCTGAATTCTTAAATTTCCCCTCCTCGACTCCCCTCCTCGACTCCTATCCTCGATACTTAGTCCCGCCCACAGGAGATGCGAGCTGAGGACTGAGGAGGGGAACCGAGGAGAGAGGAGGGGAAGCAGCAGGCGGTTAGAGAAATGAGAACTCCTCTCCTCTGAGCAGTCATTTTAAAGAGACGTCCATTAATGATGACAGGAGGCACAGCAGCCCTCTGTCTGATGGACAGATGTGTTCATGACGACTTATAGATTTATTTAGATTCATTGACAGTGCGGTATAATGAGACAATAACAGGCTACAGATGCGGACACACACATATTTATATAAATATATACAATTTCAGAATCAAACAAGTATGAGAGCACTCTCATAATAACGTAACACAATCAGAGACTGGATATACCCCCCTCCCCTATAAGTAATATAAAAACAGTTAAATATTTCAAGGAATAGATAGCCCAGTGGGGAGAGCCGGCGGCCCGAATGCGGCGTGTCCTCCGCGCAGCTGGTTCAAAGCCCGGAATGGATGTATTTTAATCATTGCTTTTCAACTTTAATAACTGATAAAAGGCCCTCTCCTCCCAACATTTTTTCCAGCACTCTCTAGTCTCTTCTCAATAACCCAATACACACAATTATCAATCTTTAATTGCAAATAGAACATGATATTCAATTCAGTCTTAGTGTGTGTGTGCATCGAATATTTTTCAAGGCAAAGATACGTTAAACCCACTGCAGCCTTGCACTTCGCCAGGAGAGGTCGCTGTAACTGAAGCTTCGAGAAATGAACCTATTTCCGACACAATTGTCCAAGTGGTTCGACGCTTCATTCAAAGCTTCATTTTGCCATCACTACCTGTTATACTGAGTGATATATATGTTTACACACTGCTCTGCTTTCTGCACGGACCTCACAGCTGTTCTCTCTGGAAACATCGTGACGCGATGAAAGCAATTTCTAAAATAATATCCAGGGGATGCATGCAGAGCTGTCATTGGCTGAGATAAGTCCGGCCGTGCGTCACGCCTCCACCGTTCCCGGAAATGCATCCGCGGAGGAACCATCAGTGTATCCTCGGTTAGAGCTCCTCCAGAGAGCATCCTCAACGCTCGATGCTCGGTCCTCGATGTGCATTTAGAGAAATTAGATGTCCTTCAAAATGGCGCGCTGAAATTCATTTCCGGGTCACTACTGGAGGACCGAAGAGTCGAGGAGGGGAAATTTGAGTATTGAGAAACCTCTCACGTCTGCGTTCTTTCGCACCTGCATGTCAGCGCCATATAGATAGAAGAGTTACGACAACGGAAGTCCATCAGTCTATATGGCGCTGCTGCATGTAATCTGAGAAGGTCCCGCCTCTCTGGCTGGCTCCTGACCGGAAAATCTTCAGTGTTGATTGACACTTCAGTAATAGCCTATCAGATCGTGTGGTGACTGCAGCCAGAGAAACGGCCGCATCAGAGCCAAAGTTGTATCGGCAATTTGATTAAAAAAGAGGCCGATACCGATTATCGGTCAAATGCGGAATATCGGTCGACCCCTAATATACAGTCTATGCTAGCAGGGCCGCCTTAATGCCCGGGCTGACCTGGGCTGAAGCCCAGGGGTCTACGGAGATCAGGGGCCTATCATGAGCCAATAATAATTTTAAAAAAAATTCCCGGATGTTTTAATAAAAAAAAAAGTTGAATAAACAAAGTCTTGGCTTTCAGAATATGAAACTTTCATTTCCAAAATCACATGATAAATACATTTTTGAAGCTTGTAAAGGGAAGAAGACAGCTCTCCCTCGCCACTCTGCTGTTCTACTGTTCCCCTCCCTCCGCTGAAATTATGAATGTAAGGCATATAGTAATCATAGATAACACGACAGGGTCCGTTACAGTTTGTTTTCATCTGATTTCAAATAAACAAAGTCTTGGCTTTCAGAATATTAAACTTGTTTCGGCAAATTCAGATGATAAATACAGCTTTGAAGCTTCGGGCATAATTACAAGCAGAGAACGGAGTAACTTGACGTCACAGCAGGCATAACAACAGCCGGTGTTTCTCATGAGTGTTTTCCCCGGGAAAAAAACACAATACACACAAACGCAAAAATACACAAACACACGTATACACACACACACACACACACACACGTGAGCTTCCCCCAGACCAGTAATCCAAACGAAAATATCTTCCCCCCGTAGTATTTTGATCATTTGCTCCGCTAATCAATCAGATCGATGGATGCCAGAGATTTTTCTCAAAAACGATGTAACAGTCAGTGGGCACCACTTAACAGCCAATCAGAATGAGAATATGTTTCACATGTGACTTATTCAAATTGTGAGTGATTGAGTGACAGATGAAGGTTGTTTAGGAGAAAATGTCAGAGAAGAAAAAGTTTGAGAGTGGCGCTCGGAAAAGGAAATTGTTGAGGGAAAAGGAGTTTCGAGACAAGCAGCTATTACAAAAAATGCCCAAGCTTACAGGTTATTTTAAACCTATAGGCCAGGATGAGGAGGAAGGACAGATGAGTTCTGTACCGAGCGGTGCCGGCCGCGGGGCCTCGGAGCCAAGTAGGCCGTCTGGTTCTGATAGCGATGGAGTAGCGGGAGAGGAAAAACAGACAGGAGATGATCTGTTGGAGGAGATGGGAGGACGACGAGGACTTGCTACGTGGAGGGGAGCCAACGGCAACCGGGCAAATACATGAGGGAGGCCCGATACGTCACTCATCTGGAGGAGGACCAGGCGCGCGTAGAGCAGAGTGGAGAAGTGCGATCACAGAGCCTGCCGAGGCTAAAATGAGTTTGATTTGTTGTTTAAATAGGGGGCCTACAAAAACTGCCCCAGGGCCTGATGGCAGGTTAAGGCGGGCTTGTATGCTAGAGAGAGCGAGAGCGCTTTGAAACAGAATACAATACAATTCAGACAACCAAAAATACACAAAGCAAATCATTACATATCGTTCTAGTTTTCAAACGTAGTAATGTAGACCATGATGACCGTAAGGTTGGTGTTGCGTTTTGTATATTTGCTTTTAAGAAAATGAGACTTGTAGACAGATTAGCGGGGTAAGGGTTTGAATAGCTGTTTAAAATATCAAGTAAAATAACTTCTATTCTATAGTCTTATTTTTATTATTATGTTTTAATTTCCGTGAGATATAGCCTACTGTATTTTATAATGTCCAGGTAGGTTTCTTATGGGATATGAAGACAATAAGGTTAGGTTTCTATTTAACATATGTTATTTGGTGTTTTGTCCTCGGGCTTAGATCCTATATAGGATCTATTAATATTTGTGTGCATTTTCAAAATGTACTGTCAGCAACACCATCTTAGATTAATATTTAAATAAACAATTCTGTAAAATCCCCTTGAACAATGCATCATACATTTCTTTAAACTCCGTTCTAACTCACTGTATAAATATGTATTGGTCAATGTGAGGTCCACTAACAGTGTTACAGCACCTCTTAGTGGCTGACATGACATCGTTTTATTTTTAAAATATTTTATTATTTTTGTAAGTTTTCTCGTTACATATAAATGAACCAAAACATCTAAAAAGTAGATTTGAAACTAGGTGCAACATATGAGGAGTTTAATCCCAAACAATTCACACAGTAAAGAAATGATAAATTACAACTTGGCATTCCAGAAAAGCACAACTGAAGTTATTTCAGGACCCAAATAGAAATGGAACCATTGCTGAATATCTTCTGCTTTTGAATTGTCGACTGTGGAGCTGCGTTTGATTCCACAATGGATATCTGTTGTTTGGAACTAAACATTTCATATACTTAAATTACCTAAAAACAGGAAATAACACATTACAGAAACAACCATAAAGGAAACACAACCTTTAAACACTTGAAGCTGTGTGGCTGGTTATGACAAATAAAGGTTAGCAATGTTTCAGGAGTATAAAGAGTATACATTACAGAAACCTCAGAGTGAACAGGGTGACAACTAAAGCTGAGAACTACGAGACCCTCCAATCTCCACTTTTAATAATCGTCATCTAAGTCGTATATAAAAAAAGAACTGTACAGAAGACTATTTGCTGTCTGAAAAGGTCATGAAGATATTTTAGAGGGTCTCTGGCATTGCAAATAACAGATTACCAAAACTCAGCTCAAGACTTTTTTTGCCAGAACATTTTCTTTCTTAAGGACCTCTTTAGACAAAATGATTCAGTGTTAAACAACTACAGTTTTGTCAGTTGTCAGATAGAGTGTGGTTGTTACACGAGAGGCACAGCAATGCAGGGAATGGGACAAAACAGTGGCCCCTGCATGCTTTTTTTTGTATCAAATGTGTAGTTTTATCAGCCTGGAATGAAAAAAGAAACTGGGGTATTCCGAATGTTATCAAAACATGTCCAATCCTATTGCAGTCTGGGTGGATGGTCAGAGAAGCATAACACTTGCTGCATTGTTTGTCTTTAACAGAAAGCCAAAAAGAGGCTGGTGTATAGAGCAAGATATTTATGTTGTGGAAGGCTTCAAGCTTCACAGTGCACTGTAGAGGCGAAGGAGGCTGAAGAGTTGAGGGCTTTTAACCATGGGTGGTGTCATCCTCCACAAAGTCTTTGGCCTGCTCCGCTGTGATCACATCGATGTGACTCACCTAAACACACACACACACACACACACACACACACACACACACACACACAGTTAATGACCAAACAAGACCTCCACTTTAGCAACTCTGACTAAGCAGTGATATTTTATGTTTTCAAACAGAAATTCAAGAGGACATTTTTTCTTTTCAACAGGGGAGCTAAGCAGAAAACCACCCTCGCCTACAGGGAAGTTGTTAATCAACAGAACGTTGCAACCTACATTTACAGGAAATATACTTTGGATGCATTGTATAAATGTATTGTAAAATCTGTATGTAAATAAAGTTTAATTTGAGTGACTGACTGGTTAAAAAAAAGGAAACACATTTTACAGCATGTTATAACCTCTTCAGATAAGATAACAACAACCGGATTTCTTTCTTGTGGACTCACCTTGTTTCTGAATTTGACTCCATAGAACTTGTCAGCGGACTCGAGCAGCTCGGGCCTGAAGGTGGTGGTGATGAACTGGGCGTGGCCGGCCAGCTCCACGATCATGTCTGAAACAGACAGGCAATCACAAAGAGAAAAGAGGGATGAGGACTTTCTTATATTTGCTAAGGCTTTCACACAAAGAATGGGAAACAATGATAATCTGTTGTGATCATCAGTGAAAAAACAATCTTTTAAATTAAGAATATGTATCCTTCCTATTAGGGCTGCACGATATTGAAAAAAACTGACATCGCGATTTTTTCACGACACTGTCTCAGGGGATCTTAATATTTAAGAACCTATTAATGTGTTATACCAGATTAACGGAAATAATCTCAGCTAACTGACGATACAAACCATTTTTACCAAAACAAAACAAAAGTCTCATAAGAAGCATCTAAATGACCCCTGAGCGAAAAATGCTAACGCACTTTGGCACAGAACTCAAGATAAAAGTACCCTTATTACTTATCGTAGCTGCACTTACAAGATATCCGATTAAAGCTGAGGTTCCACAGATTATTTAGGTATATAGTATCATCACTGAGTGATCCGAACTCGGACAGGGGAAGCAAACACAGACATCACAACACGTACCTTTACGTAGCTTCTAGGGGAGATGTCTCACCGTAGCTGTCAATCTGATAAAAAGACATGTTCAATGGCATTAAACGAGAAAAAACGCGGCTGAATCGGTTAATCCATAGGTTTTTAACCTATACATTTCATTTATAATCCATAATTCCATTTTTATGTAAAAATCGCAGAGCAAAAGTTAGCTGCTAATGGTAGCCACCAGAGTGGCTGCTGCTTCCGGTCTCGGCTATGCGGCAGTCACACACACATTACCAAATAAGGAGTGAGAGTGACGCGTAGCCAAAACCGGAAGCTGCATACAATCTGGTGGCTACCATTAGCAGCTAACTTTTGTGCTCCGATTTTTACATAAAAATGGAATTATGGATTATAAACAATTGCTTCAAAGCCACATATACATTATCAACCTATGGATCAACCGATTCAGCCGCGTTTTTTCTCGTTTTAATGCCATTGAACACGTCTTTTGATCAGATTGACAGCTACGGTGAGACGATCTCCCCTAGAAGCTCTGTAAAAGGTACGTGTTGTGATGTCTGTGTTTGCTTCCCCTATTGCGAGATCGGATCGCTTAGATACTATACTAAAATCATCTGTTGAGTCTCAGCTTTAATCGGATATATTGTATGTGCAGTTTCGATAAGTAATAATGGTATCTTTATTTTGAATTCTGTGCTAAAGTGCGTTAGCATTTAAAAAAAAAAAGAAAGAATAAAACCGCACGACCCTGCGGTGTGAATATCGCGCATGCGCATATCGCGGTTATCGCCATGACACGGTATATCGTTCAGCCCTACTTCCTATACAACATCACCAAATCTGAACCCATGCATTTCGAATTGACATGGGTTGGACACTATGACAACAAGCCACCGAAGTTACTGTTAGGTGTGAATGTGATACAGTGGACAGAAATGCATAGGGATTCATTTATCCTACAAAGTCAAAACCAGCGCAAAGGTCAAATTTGCCAGGGACTAAGGTAGCACACTGGTAAAATATCTTTGGTATAGCAATAAGGAGCATATCAAAAACTGAACAAAAGATATTTTCAAAAGGCAAGTTACAGCTTTAAAAACATAAAAAAACACATACAAAAAATATAGTACGGGAGTGATGATTGCCTCATCTGTTTGAGACCATGACATATGGGACAGCATGTTCAATGCATTTCCAGTCACACCACCTACAACAGTGCAACACAGATACACATCTCACCCTCTCTGTTGCTTACGCAGCTGAGGCGGAACAATTTGTTCTCAAAACAAAAGATTTATAGAGGAGGCAAACAAGGCTTTAAGCTCCAGTGTTTCAGATGGTTTTTCCCTCTTCAGCACATGTTTACAACGCCGTCAGAGGTTTGACGGGATTAACTACATGTAAGAGATTTACTTAATTCCCTCTCTCCATATTTGTATACTTCCGCGTTACCTGAGACAGCCTTCCTGTGCTGGGCGTCGAGGGCCTGGTCGATCTCATCGAACAGGTAGAAGGGAGCGGGGTCGCACTTCTGGATGGCAAAGATCAGAGCCAGAGCCACCAGAGACTTCTGACCTCCAGACAGCTGCTGCATCTCTCTCATCTCCCCCTGCTTCCCTGTGAACGACACCTGCAACGGGCGGGGGAGGTATGTTTTAGACCAGAATAGGAAAAAGCAGAGACTTGATCATTTCACTTAATCGTCTCCTTATTATTCAATTCTCTGATAAGACACACGATCTTACAGATGGTAGGAATGCTAATGTGGGGTTATGGGAGATTTTAAAATGATGCGGATGGATTTAGAGTGAAAAGAATTGGCTATTAATCATTACATGACTGATTTCAGGTTGGTCCCTGGTAGAAATGCACATTCCTTTTTCCCCAGACAAAAAGTCAAGGAACCCCTCAAAGACTACGGGTACAGTGAGATCCTTGTACTGCTGGCCCTAACTCAGTTTGAATGTGGGTCCTTTCAAATATAAGTAACTCAAGAAATGCTCATCTTTCTGCATCTTCTTATCAATTTACAATACGTTACCACTGGCTTTAAGTAATAAAACAACAAAACACTCCATATAGTGAGTTTTAAAAAATTGTTATCGTCATAAAGGCCTTTGACATTCATCACTTTTCATAAAATAAGGGGAACAAAATTCAGACAAAGTGTATAACATATAACAGAAAGAGACTGTTACCCTGATGCCCACTCCGGTGAACTGGTCCACTGAAGGAACGCTGCTATGGGAGCCCGAGCCCTTCTCACTGTCTCCCCCGCCCTCACCCTCGTCCTGAGACTGGCTGCCTTCAGCGTCGCCCTTCTTCATCACCAGCGTGGCTTTGCCTCCGGGCACCAGCTTCAGGAAAACCTCACTGAAGTTCTTCGACACCTGAGGGAGAGAAGACGTGGCAAAAAGAGGAACAAAGTGAGTATTAGTCATCTACTGTTGGACTGAGACAATAACAAATCATTTCTAAAAGTAAAAATAGGAGAATACATTTCGAGGGAACTAATGTATTGGATTGAATATTTGTTCTGCAGTCAGATGATATTGCATTTTAACAGCTTTACAGTTAGAATTTGACTGTTTTATTTTCATGCTATTACTGTATGTCAGTTTTTTTATTTATCTAAATCCATCTCCGAAAGGCGTATGGCCTATACAACAATATATTATTGATAGTCTTTAATACTATGCAGATCTAAAAAGTCTAAAAATAACAGTTGTAGTTGTGCCTGTATTACTGTTATACAATAAATACCTGCATCCTTGAAGCAGAACAAAACTGAGCCACTCGTATGTTTTCATTAGTCTGATATCGCAAAACGTAATGTTACGGGCCATATTTTATAAATACACTGGATTGCATTGACTTGGATATATTATGTCATTGGGCCAATGTCAGCTACAACCAAGGGTGTTAGAAAACATGCATGTATTTAAACATATTCAAATGGGCACTCAGGCTACCATGGTTCTGCCAACCAGGCTCATATTTTATTGCTAAGCATTGAGCACATGTGATGTCAGTGGACTCTGAACAGACACGCACCTGTTTGAAGGTGAGCTGGATGGCCTCGTACTTGCGCAGCTCCAGGACGTTCATGAGCTCCATGATGGATTTGTGACCGCGGTCCAACTCCTCCTGGCGCTTGATGAGCTTTTCCTTCTGCTCAGAGAAGTTCACAAACTGATCCAGAGCTTTCTTGTTGACGTGGCTGTACTTCTTCAGCTCTGTGTTGCACTGCTCCAGTTTACGGAACAACTGTTGGGGAGGAAAGAAAGAAAAGATTAATCAATAATTTACGGGTGAATCAGACTCGGCTGTACTTTTTGGGGAAAATGAACTTGTGTCCAGAGCCTTGCATATTTTTAAAATGTTTCATTTTTTTCTGGTGAGTAAATTCTACACAGTGAGACACTTGTTTCAGAAAATGTTATGCATGTTTAAAGATTCTGAAAACAAAATTAATTTTATATTATTATTTTTGACTGTCTTTATATTTGCACTGCCACAAAATCTTGTGGTGATTTAATTCATTTGAGATTTTTCCAGCCCAAAACATGCAAACAATTCTTCTATCAAACCTGTGTATCATCAGCTGAGAAACTCTTTACAAAGCTAAAGAATGTGCCGTATATAAATATCTAAGAGCCTCCATTGAAAACCACTTGTTGACTATAACAGGGACATCAATTCAGATCCATGTTTCAAAGTATGCTGACAGATTATTTTGGTATCTCAAGATGACATGACATGACCTGATTAAGAGCCAGCTTAGCCTCGATCCGAAGTGACACGCACTCTACAAACTCTCCAACTATAAATTCATCCGTCTGAACCACTAATGGCCGAGGGAACACGAGCAAGTGGCATTATTACTTGGCCCCCTCGCCCACTTGTGCAATCAAAGGCACCATCTTTCCTTGGAGCTGAGTCCTGTGAAGAGCGATTAATTATACGGAGTGTTCATGAGAAAGTGTGAGGCTATTTCCAGCATTGTCAAGGAGGGGAGATGACACACACACACATGTACACACTCAGACACTTATGAAAGATGCAGCCAAGTCTCCTCAGCTCAGTCTCCCAGAGGCAGCTGGCTGAAAATAAATCAGAGACAGAGCACTAACTAGTGTCTGAGTCACTGCTGAGCAGGAGGGGAGAGAGTGAGTGAGTGAGTGGGTGGGTATGTGTGTATGCGTGTGTGTGTGTGTGTGTGTGTGTGTGTATGTGTGTGTATGTGTGTGTGTGTGTGTGTGTGTGTGTGTGTGTGTGTGTGTGTGTGTGTGTGTGTGTGTGTGTGTGTGTGTGTGTGTTATGCACACACTCAGGCTTGTTGCAGGTAGTAAGAAAACTGCAATCTCTGATCTCAGTAGATCTTCATGGTTAGTTTTGCCATTATTTTGTCTTCAGTGTGCATGAGAAGTCTAAGAGTGTGGGACTGGCTTTCTAAACGTCTGGCACTATTGGGACGGATGGCGCAGTGGTCTGTGCGTTTGATCATCAGATCAAGGGGGCGTTGGAGAACTCCAGTTCGAAACCCGCTCCCGCCCTACTGCGTCAGGCCGTTGTGTCCTTGGGCAAGACACTTCACCCGAATTTGCTCCTGTGGGTATTGTCCACAGTGGATGACCATTACATGTATGATCTGTATGTGTAATGTGTATTTGTAAAGCGCTTTGAGAGTCTTTGATAAAGCGCTATAATAAATATAAGGATTATTATCCATCCATCCATCTTCTCCCGCTTATCCGTGGTCGGGTCGCGGGGGTAGCAGTTCCAGCAGAGAGCCCCAAACTTTCTTTTCCCTGGCGACATCAACCAGCTCTGACTGGGGGATCCCAAGGCGCTCCCAGGCCAGCGAAGAGATATAATCCCTCCACCTGGTCCTAGGTCTACCCCTTGGTCTCTTCCCAGCTGGACGTGCCTGGAACACCTCCCTAGGGAGGCGCCCAGGTGGCATCCTAACTAGGTGCCCGAACCACCTCAACTGGCTCCTTTCGACGCGAAGGAGGAGCGGCTCAACTCCGAGTCCCTCCCTGATGACCGAACTTCTCACCTTATCCCTAAGGGAGACACCAGCCACCCTGCGGAGAAAACCCATCTCGGCCGCTTGTATCCGCGATCTCGTTCTTTCGGTCATGACCCATCCTTCATGACCATAGGTGAGGGTAGGAACGAAAATGGCCCGGAAGACCGAGAGCTTTGCCTTCTGGCTCAGCTCCCTTTTCGTCACAACGGTGCGGTAAAGCGACTGCAGTACCGCTCCCGCTGCTCCGATTCTCCGGCCCATCTCACGCTCCATTGTTCCCTCACTCGAGAACAAGACCCCGAGATACTTGAACTCCTTCACTTGGGGTAAGGACTCATTCCCTACCTGGAGTGGACAGTCCATCGGTTTCCTGCTGAGAACCATGGCCTCAGATTTGGAGGTGCTGATCCTCATCCCAGCCGCTTCACACTCGGTTGCGAACCGATCCAGTGAGTGCTGAAGGTCGCAGACCGATGAAGCCATTAGAACCACATCATCTGCAAAAAGCAGTGGTGCAATCCTTAGTCCACCGAACTGCAGACCCCCTCCCCCATGACTACGCCTTGAAATCCGATCCATGTATATTACAAACAGGATTGGTGACAAAGCGCAGCCCTGGCGGAGGCCAACCCTCACCGGAAATGGGTCCGACTTACTGCCGAGGACCCGGACACAGCTCTCGCTTTGGGAGTACAGAGATTGGATGGCCCTGAGTAGAGACCCCCTCACCCCATACTCCCGCAGCACCTCCCACAGTAACTCCCTGGGAACTCGGTCATACGCCTTCTCCAAGTCTACAAAACACATGTAGACCGGATAAGCGTACTCCCAGGCCCCCTCCAGGATCCTTGCGAGAGTAAAAAGCTGATCCGTCGTTCCACGACCAGGACGGAATCCGCATTGTTCCTCCTCAATCTGAGGTTCGACAATCGGCCTGACCCTCCTTTCGAGTACCTTAGAGTAAACTTTCCCGGGGAGGCTGAGTAGTGTGATGCCTCTGTAATTGGCACACACCCTCTGATCCCCCTTTTTAAATAGGGGAACCACCACCCCGGTCTGCCACTCCTTCGGTACTGTTTCCGACTTCCACGCAACGTTGATGAGACGTGTCAACCATGACAGTCCCTCAACACCCAGAGCCTTCAGCATTTCCGGGCGGATCTCATCCACCCCCGGGGCTTTGCCACTGTGGAGTTGTTTGACGACCTCAGTGACCTCCCCCCGGGAGATTGGTGTTGATCCCCCGTCATACTCCAGCTCTGCCTCTAACATAGAGGGCGGAGTTGTCGGGTTCAGGAGTTCCTCAAAGTGTTCCTTCCAACGCCCTAACACTCCATCAGTTGAGGTCAACAACGTCCCATCCTTACTGTACACAGCTTGGATGGTTCCCTGCTTCCCCCTCCATTATTATTATTATTATTATTACTAAAAGTTTTTTTCTCTAGCGCCATAAAGTGTTCAAATAATTTTTTTTTTACGTGATAAAATTGTTTTGTTTTGAACATAATGGAAGATAGTGACATCTTCAGAACTGTTACAGATGTGTATTTTGTAAATTGTGTAACTTTCTTAAATTTGTTTATCTTTAATATGTGTTGTATGCATGCTTCTTAGTTAACGTTAAGCTGTCTTTGTCTCTTTCCTGCTGTAACAAATGTGTATTCTGATTCTGATTGGGCTGGGGGGTCGGACATCCTTAAAGGTTAACCTACCGATTCAGAAAGGCTTCTAATTGAGAACGGTGTATAGACAAAATACCGTTTTTTTTAATTTATTTTTTTTATTCAAGTTGTTAATTGTTTTCTACTTTTTGTTACTGTAGTAAAACAGCAAGAAACGTGGATAATTAAGATTATTTTTCTTATACACAATAATTGTATTACATTTGTAGGAGCCATGATCGCTGTTGATTGGTTGGCTTGGGTCACATGGGTATGGGTGGCACTCATTATAATTCTGTTCACCTGTGTGAGGTGTGGGTGTGTGGAAGAGAGAAGAGGCTTCTCAATACTCAAATTTCCCCTCCTCGACTCCTCGGTCCTCCGGTAGTGACCCGGAAATGAATTTCAGCGCGCCATTTTGAAGGACATCTCATTTCTCTAAATGCATACCGAGGACCGAGGACCGAGGATCGAGCGTCGAGGAGGCTCTCTGGAGGAGCTCTAACCGAGGATACACTGATGGTTCCTCCACGGATGCATTTCCGGGAACGGTGGAGGCGTGACGCATGGCCGGAATTATCTCAGCCAATGACAGCTATAAATGCATCCCCTGGATATTATTTTAGAAACTGCTTTCATCGCGTCGCGATGTTTCCAAAGAGAACAGCTGTGAGGTCCGTGCAGAAAGCAGAGCAGTGTGTAAAATATATATCACTCAGTATAACAGGCCTACTCTCTTTATTTGCTTTAGTTTAGTAGATATCTACAAACAAAGAGTCGATATTTTTCTAAGACCATTGCTTCACATAATAAAATACACAACGGCTTATGCTTTAGGAGCTGTATGTGTGTGTGGTACAGTGTGTAGGTGTGTGTGGTACAGTGTGTAGGTGTGTGTTGTTCAGTGTGTAGGTGTGTGTTGTACAGTGCGTAAATGCGGCGGACAGACGGGTCTCAGTTGGTTTGGTGTCCTCTGCTTACTTTTAATAGGCCTACTTGTAAATACAACTTTTGGCCCGTAATTTCAATTCCCCATTTCAGCGACCAGAGAGAGGGGGGGATATATCCAGTCTCTGATTGTGTTACGTTATTATGAGAGTGCTCTCATACTTTAAATTGTATATATTTATATAAATATATTTGTGTGTGTGTGTCCGCATCTGTAGCCTGTTATTGTCTCATTATTAGGGGTGTAACGGTTCACAAACATTTCGGTTCGGTACGTACCTCGGTTTTTTGGTCACGGTTCGGTTCGGTACGTTTTCGGTACAGCAGAATTTTTTTTCACAAAACAAAACATATATATTTTTGTATTATTATTATTAAACTGTGAATAATGTATTCACTCAAATAAATACAAAATATATTAAAATAAACATTAAGGTGCAGCATTTCGATGAACTGAAATAATCTGTATTTGAACTGTACTGTACTAGTACCTAAGCAGCCAGTTTGACATTAGGACTTGCTTGTCATTGTATTTTCATGTTTTTTTAAAGAAAGATGAACTTGTCCACATTGCTTGCCGAAAGGGCAGATCTGCTGGCACTAACAATGTCTCCTGATGTGGAGAAAACCCTCTCGCTAGGGACAGAGGTAGCAGATACAGCCAGGTAGCGCTTTGCTAACATGGCAACATAAGGATACTTGGCGTTTGTAATAGCTTTGGCTCGGTCTGAACTCTCTGCGAGTGGTGGAGGCTTAAATGCTAGTGGGAGTTGGGTTTGCACTTCAGTCTTTTTTCTTTTGGTACCGATGATATTCACGTTCGGGTGATGCCTTTTCAAGAGTGTGCAAGTTTGATGTATTGCCAGCCGCGTAACCAATGTTAGTTGAACAATGCCGACAAACAGCTTTGGTTCGGTCCACCTGTCTTTGTCCGTCATCCTTGTACGTAACTGTGAAACCAAAATGTTCCCAAACCGGAGACTTCAATGATGCTGGAGGATTTTCGAGCTCAACTTTATCTGCGTTCGCCATTAATTTTTGACAGTTCCTCAAATTACTGACTACATTTGAACGCATCCCTCTGACCAGCTCTCATAGTATGCCTCTCATCCAATGAAATGACTTGCTCGCTCTATGACGCGTTGAACCCAATGTGAGCAAATTACTCTGAATGCTGCGACGCAGCACCTGAGATTACTTCCAAAAAGTTATACACGTTCTCAATTTTTTACGTTTAACGTTATATTCGTTCGGTACACTTCGGTACACACCTGTACCGAACCGAAGGGCCCGTACCGAATAATTTCGGTACGGGTACGTGTACCGTTACACCCCTACTCATTATACCGCACTCTCAATGAATTCAAAGTAAATATGTGGGGGAACAATGTTCAGCTGATCTAACAGAGATACAGTGCTATGACAAAACACTCGACAGCTGATGCAGCTGTTGCCACGTAATAATGAACGGACGTCTCTTTAAAATGACCGCTCAGAGGAGAGGAGTTCTCATTTCTTTAAACGTCTGCTGCTTCCCCTCCTCTCTCCTTGGTTCCCCTCCTCGGTCCTCCGCTCGCATCTCCTGTGGGCGGGACTAAGTCTCGAGGAGGGGAAATTTAAGAATTGAGAAGCCTCTAGGGCAGGGGTGGCCAACCAGTCAGAGGTTAAGAGCCACATGTTTTCTATGTTACTGCAAAGAGCCACATCAAACACACAGTCACTGATATTGTTTCAGTTTTTAGTTTTCTGGAGACAAGATTTCAACCACGTCACTGATGCATTTTTGTGGCATTGGGATATATATTTTTTAAATCCTCTGGAGCAGAGAGGAGCTGTGGATTATTGTTATTGATTAATGCATCAGTGTTTCTTAGGGTCAAAAACACTAAACCCACAACTTAAAATGAAAGCGTTTAGTTTATTTAATAAAAGAGCACATGTTCAATGTGAAAAGTGACAGTAGTTATAGATTATTTGCAATTTGGTGCTATATATATATATATATATATATATATATATATATTTTTTTTTTTAAATTATATATATATAACACCTTGAATTTCAGGGGGGGGCGCGGGGCTCCGTTGGCGGGGCGCAGCGCCCCTCCAAGACAATGGTAGGGGAAACACTGGATAGTAGTGTTTAATCAACGATAGGTTTCCCCCCCCTCAAAGGTGATTGGTTCACTGCATCGCAGGTATTATTGTGATTGGCTCTTGGGCCACATCAAAATTAGACGCCTGTCATCCTCTCATACTGACACCTGACACCACACATACACACGTAGGGAGAGCCGGAGCGATTTTATCCGAGCCCAAACAACTTTGAGCGGCCAAATTACGTCAGAATTATCAGCATTCAATACTTAACAGACCTACTAAATATCAGGTTTAACTGTCAGGAGTAGTGTTGTCACGATACCAACATTTTGGTTTCGATACCAAGTCAAGAATTGCGATTCCGATTCTTTTTCTTAAAAAAAGGGAAACAGTCTTAAATGTAATTGTGCTTTATTTCACACCAGAACCATAACACAAACTTTTAAACAATGAGAACAATAAATAAAATAAAGGACAAGAATTCGTATTAAATCAAATTAATACATGTCTGACAGACAGGCCTCGTGGTGTCCGTAGGCTTGCCCTCACTGTCAGAGATATAGCTAAAATACATCAAAATGTTGCTTCTGGCATCTTTTGTGTCAACAAGCCGAGGCGCAGCAGCAGCTGCACTCCCACTTGCAGCCATGCTTTTCGTTTTCTCACATACTCTGGCAGCTAGCGCGTGGTCGCGTGCACGAGAGAGGGGAGGGACTTAGAGCGTGCTTGAGAGGGAGGGACTGCAGGCACGGCTGCAGAGCAGGGAGTGAAAGCAGAGCGCTGAACACACACGGCTCTTATTAAAACAGTGCTTTCTCACCGGAGTACTTTCCCCCGTCATTCTTAAAGTACCGATACTAATGAAACGGAGGAATCGTAACGTTTTTAACGGCAGGGTATACCTTTCAAGTAACGGTACACCGTGCAACACTAGTCAGGAGTCAGTGTCTCTCCCCCAAACTCACACATACAATTCGATATGAACTGAAGAGCCGCATGAAACTAGGCAAAGAGCCGCATGCGGCTCGAGAGCCGCGGGTTGGCCACCCCTGCTCTAGGGTGACACAGGGCCGTTGTATTTTTTTGTTGACCGCAAGATTACAATTGCTTTGATTATAACAGTGTATATGTCTGATCACCGACTTTTTTAATTAAACTACAATACTACGAAACAGAGCTTCAGATCTCAGCGAGTACTTTTTTAGCGTGTCATACAACAGCAAACGGGCCCGGCCTCAGCCTCTCAGCGACTTAGTTTGTTTCCTGCTGTCGCTACAACATTGGTCCAAAATGATCAAATCCGTTTTTGCTTCTTTTTTTTTTATGTTTTCGTAGTCTGCACCTGTTGGTTTTTATTTTTGGTTTGTCAGTCATCTGTCCATTTGAACGTCACTAACCGGTGCTTCACAGACAACATTTTTTGATTTGTTTCCCTTTTGAGATATCCACCTGATTTGTCACCATCTGTAGATTAGCTGTGGGATGTCTTGTTGCAGAGAAAGAGGACTGCGTATGTCATGGCTTACATTGAAAGCACATAACAAAAAGGTTGTATTCAAGGTCAGAATAAACGGAACAAAGTCAATCCTAATGAAATGTTAATTTGAGCACCTGACTTTTGTTGTAAGACAGGCCTGCAAAAGAAATTGCACCCATCTTGAAAGGTCAGTTTAAAGAAAATATCTGCCGTAATATATAAATCCACCTTAAACTAAAACACTGCAGCAGCGCAGTTCTGAGTGATGTTGTCTGGTTGATAAATACAACTTAAAAGCCACTGTGTGAGTGTGTGTGTGTACCTGTTTGATTGAGAGGGTCTGGTACTTCTCGAAGGCCTCCTGAGGCAGCGAGCCGAGCTCTCGGATCTTCTTCATGCACTCCTCTTTCTTCTTGAGCAGCATGCCCTGCCTGTTGGTCATCTTCTCCAGCTCCTTGGTGTCGCTGTTGATGGCGTCATTCTGATCCTTCTCGATGTTCTTCCAGCGCTCCATGCTCTTTATGTGGTCCTTGATCTCGACCTCGATCTTGTCGACCAGAAGATCAAGATCTGGGGAAGAGACATTGGATGAGGCAGTGCAACAGAAGTGATTGGTTTTATTACAAATGAGGCATCAGTGCAGAAACAGAAGCTAGCGCAGCCACAGTTTTTTCTTAAAAAGTCCACTGAATGGAACTTTAACAAAACAGACTGTAAAGGAATGAAAAAGCCGGAGTTCCATTTTTAATTCAGCAGCCAAGATAACTCAATTCAAATGTATATTGTTAATAAAAAACCTACTAATGTGGATGCTAACTTTCTTAAAAGTGAACTGCTCACGGAATCATAAATGGAAAATTGAACAAAGGCTTGAAAATAAAGCCTACTTAAGAAGAGGTCGTGCTGTGAATATGTATTTAATTGGTTATTAACAGTAATGAAACATGATTTCATGCAAATTAATTCTAGTCAGGATCACTGCCTTCCATCAACCTCATCTGAGTCACAGCGCCAGCAGAGCATTTATTCCATCAGCCAAGCCGTCTCTGAAGCAGCTTTTTATCCACATTAGTCCATCACATCACAGCAAACCTCACCATCTGCTGGTGGTGCCATCCTATTGAAGACAGCGTCGAGTTTTTACATCTAAATTCCCCAATGACAGCTTATTTTGGGCTCAATAGAGCACCTTGGTTTCGTTTATGAAAATACACTCTTCCATATGGCTACCAAGTAATGACGAGTACTCCTTTAACAGCGCTACTTCAATCAATTACTCAATCCACAAATCATGATATCTCTCTCGCTCTTATACATTTGAATGATTCAGGCATTAGTGTGAATGACACACAATTTGTGTTTTGTTTGAGGGTACTGAAGTGTTTTTAATGGTTCACCTTTTTGTTTAAAGCTTGTCTCTTTAAGTTTCAGGCTACGCTCCCCCCCAGTGGTGTATCTTTAGTGCGATGCTCACCTTCTGATCGTGACAGAGTCTCTTTGACACGTTTGTTGATGCCGTCCAGCTCAGACGTGGTGGCTGTGAGCACGGTGCCTCCCTCAGTCTCTCGCAGCTCGTTCAGCTCCTGTTCCAATGCACAACAAAAAGAGGGTCATTCAAATTCCAACACCTCTCTTCTGACCTGTGTGAAGTAAAGACTTCAATCCAGGACTCTGTATTTACATCACCTGCAAGTACATTCATTGAATCGGCTGCAAACAAAAACCTTGAACTGAGTGGGTATTCATGCAAGAATGTATATATATTGTGTATACAACATATGTGTTGATGTATATATTGTTTTTTGCTATAACAGAAAATAACCCAACTTCAGTTTTCAGGGTTTCTGCAGGTTTCACCAACTCAAATGTAAGACTTTTTAAGACCACTTTGAATAGAATTTAAGACCTATTTCACGGCAAGAAAGTATGAAGGAAAATTGCTATGAAAGAAGAAATACGTACATGAAATGTATTCATGTTCAACATAAGAACGATGACTGAACATAACAGCACACAGAACTGTGTTAGACAAAAGGTGTGTGTTTGTGTGTGTGTGTGTGTGTGGGGGGGGTGCTAGATCGTATACCTCCTGGGTTTTAGGCGGCGGAAGTGACGTAATCGTGGATGAGAAGTCGGCAACTTTTGTATTAAAAGTTTACCCTAAATAGAGGAGAGTTCCGCTCACGCACGTCTTGTCACAAATATGAGGTTCATTAACGAATAATGAGATCATACTCTAGAACAGTGCTTCTCAAACATTTTCTCAGCCAAGTACCCCCTGACCGACCCCGAACATTTTTGATAGAAAAAGCCTATATATATATATATATATGATTACAATATAGTAATGTTCCATCAGTGTGTGATTTATTAACTCCTTCATGCATGAATTACAACAAACTAAGGATATATTTGGCGAGTACGGCATTAAAAGTTGTAACAAGCAGTAGCGCTGAGCAAAGTGACTAGAACACGACCACACCCTTGTAAAAACAGAGAAGAACCAGTTAAGCACAAGAACGGATCTTGAAATATGAAATATGTTGAAATATGTTCTAGAAATATGTAATATAACATTTTATTTTCTATTTAATTTATTGTACTATGATTATTTTTGTAATCATGCATGGTATTTTTTTAATTAACCTTTTTTTTTATTATTATCTCACTCCCTGCAGTACCCCAACGTACCCCCAGGGGTCCGCGTACCCCCATTTGAGAATCACTGCTCTAGAACAACATTAAAATGTGTGAAATATACTTACATTTAAATAATAATAGTTTGATTATTAAATGATAACTTACAGTTCTTATTTGTGTTGCATTTGTGGATAAAACCCAAAGAACATTTAGGATATATAAATACTGGTCAGATATCCACCAGATCTTTTAGTGATTTTTGTCTCAGAGAAATTAAATTGCAACATCAAATACAAAAGTTCATCTGAAACAACTCAAATACCATAATGAAATTAATCCACAAATTATGATTGTTATGTTATACCTGGAAACACAAATACAAAACCGAAAATAATACATTTAATATGCTCGTCTCTTGTCCTGGGTGGCAGATTACGTCACTAAAACCCAGGAGGGGATCTAGCTGCTGCTGCACAAGCTAACGCTACATTAGCAAAACAAACGCTATTTGTTTTTACAAAAGGTGCAGCAGGCTTCAAACACGTTCCCCTCCACTGGTTTCAACCAAGCACTACATTTGATGTTTTACAACCAAATATGGTTGAACTTGCACTTCCCCATATTTGTTTGTAAATAGATTCGAAGATACCTTCGTTTCTGACTGCCGCTAGCTTGGTTGCTAGGTTACTAGCTGGGTGTTCTCCGATAAGGGGCCGGGGGAAACAAAGTTAGTGATTACTGGTTCCATGTTGATTTATTTCAATACAAATTGTTGGGGGGAACTGAAAGGCTATTACCGTACTGGTTACTTTGCAGCCCGGACATTTTCCCCAAAACACATTTAGACGCGATCGCAACATAGAAGTACCTTTCAAATCCGATCAGTTTTAAGACCTTCTAAATCATATTTAAGACCTTTCTTATTTTTTTGATAAAATGTAAGACTTTTTAAGACCCTGCGGGAACCCTGGTTATTAGGGATGTGCATCTCCATCACTGAGGCCGATGCGATGCGCATCTCGATACGTTGCCACGATACGATACATTAACGATACATTTGAAACACTAGGCGATGAGATACAATACGATTCACCCCTGTTGCAATACAGTTCGATACGATTTGATTCAACATTATGCGATTTGGTGCGATACGATGCGATTCAACACGATGCAAAATAATGATACTTCAATTTGGTACGACAGAGGATTTTTGTTTTATTCCTTATATGCAGCAAATCATACATTAACAAAAAAGTGCTTTACATATTTGGTACTGCACATCCCATCATGCCGTTTATTTTTTTGCCTTTAAAAGCTCTCCAGAGTACAATTCTATAACACCTCACAGTCCACATCCAACAATGTAAGGATGCATTGCTCATGATTAACAATGTGAAAATAACAGCTACCATAGAGCAATGCCCATACAGCTGCCAGCCTGATGTGCTTAACACTCATTCATAGGCTAACTCACCAGTGAGCAGAAAGCAGTGGGTTCTATATGAACAATAAAGAATACAAATAACCTTTCACAAACAGGTATTTCATAACTGCTTACAGTAAGGAAGACATTTACATTATCATTGGCCGTCACAGGCTGCTGTAAACTAAACACCACTCTCTCTGACAGAACACCTCACTGAGTGATTTAACTCGTATGTCTAACTTTCAGGTTTCTCTTTTCAGCCGCAGACCCCATGTCGCCTCTTTATGTGCGTCGCTAAGTTCCTCGTACTACTTGTGTACTTTAAAGCGGCTCGGCATCGTTAACAATTTGCGAGCGATTTTTCAAGTTGACCGTCTGTAGTATATAGTGCCGCGCACATATACCATCAGGACGTTACTGATGGGGTGCGGCTGCGGAGTGATACTGTGTGTATGCAAGCCCGCATCTAGGACGGATCTATGTGTCATGGCTGTAGACCTGTTAAGTAATAAAGATACTTCATACAAAGGTCTACGGATACCTTATTACTCTCCATGACCTGCGGTCAACTATGTAGCATAAATGACTATTACACCGTCTTTCTTGAACAATCCGAAGTGTTGCCAAACGTTTGATTTGTAGGTATTTTTCGGTGCGCTGTGTTTCTCTTTCTCCTCAACTTCCGTGTGTGTTGATAACTGAGACTTTCGGCCTCCGTAGTGGCAAAGCAAATATCAAAGATCGTCTCTGCTGAGCGTTGACAAGATGAGGGGATTTTATATGAATGAATCGGTTTTTTACCAATGCAAAGACGCTACGCAATCGATGCATCGCGAGTTCAACCCGGTTCAACCCAAACTGTAGCCGATGTGCACTCTTTCAACCGGTGCACTCGCATCTTGAACGTTTATGCCGGTGCACCGATGCGAATCGGTGAATCTTAACATCTTTACTGGTTATACATTACTCAATACACTGCAGAAAGAATATCCTGTATGCAGAGCCACACTTTGAGACGTGTTTATGGTAGAGAGTTAAAGAGACATCGTACCTGCTCCACTTGGTCAAGACGCTTCCGTAAGTTCTCGTTGAGATACGTTTCCACTCTGGTCATTATGCCCTCCAGCTTAATCCTCTCATTCAACAACTGTCTGTTGTCCTGTGGGGGGGTAGATGGGAGAACAAACAAAATACAAAAATGGTTACTCTTTGCCAAGTGCAGACAAACAAGATGTTAGTCAAATATCAGCAGGTCACAATCTTAGTTTTCTCTTGCTCTGTGAAACACAGTATTTTTACGGTGTTGTTTTAGTACTTCTACATAACTAAAAGACCTACATATTTCTTCCACCATTGCATATATCATGAGGATACTCATACAGAAATGTTTGCCCAAAAAGTACACAAACACCTTAGGTTGTGCAACAACTTTAGCCTAGGCAAATGCTCTATCAACAATACCTCCCAACATAGTGTTATGTTGCGAGCAATATCATTTGACAACAGCGATTAGTGTAAAAGCAAACATGAAAGGCTCCATGCTGCGGGGGCGCAGTTGTTGCGCAACTAAAGTGAGACTGGCTGAGGGGAGAGCTGAGAACAGCTGGCAGTAAGAGAGAGAGAGAGGGGGACGACGCTGGATCACAGGACCCTCCCACACACAGATGCTGTCTGCTCCTCTCACCTCACTCAGCTCATGTGAACACAGGCAGGAGGCGGAGTAGGAGAGGACTGAGGAACACCTACATGTAGGTAACCTGCGTTTTCTCCGAACGACATATAGGCACAGATGTGTGTGCATCAGCCTTTTCAGCATAACAGTGCTGTTCTATAGCTCACTGATCCAAATGATCGCTGAGTCTATCTTATAATAAAATATAATAATATAACTAATACAAATCATTATATACTTGAGAAGCATATTTTATTCTTTTGAGTTTGCTTCACAACATTTTCTTAAATGTCCACATTACAAGGCAAAAGCAGAGACAGAAATCCATGTAGTCCTCTGTATAGTGCTGCCGCTGACCTGCTGAAGCTGGCGGATCTCGTCGTTGAGGTCATCGACGCGCCTCTGGTCGTCCAGGCTGAGCTGAGAGAGCAGGTCTGTGCCGAGCTCGGCCTTCAGTGACTCCCTGGTAGACTCCATGGCGTGGAGGCTGGCCTCCAAACTCTGCAGGCTGCGTTGCTACAGAGGAAAAAAGTGGAGAGCACAGACAGTCAGGAGGTCACCTTTAACTCTGGGCTCGTATGCAGGTTTAAACTAAAATATTGTAACAACTTCATTATATGATCACCTTGGGCATGAAGGTCTTCTCTGACTGCTGCCTCTTCTCCTTCAGCATCTTCATCTCAGACAGAATACTGTCTCTGGACGCCTTAAACTTCCTCTGCTGAGTCTCGATCTGCTGCATCTGGTTCATCAGCTGGTCGATCTCATTGTTGATACGTGAAGGCAGCGATTAAGGAAGAATAAGCCAATGTTTAACCAAATGAGCTTTTCCTCTCAGTACAGTCTTTATTCTACGTATAGTTTTTCCAACTTTATGTGAGCCAATGTCTACAGACAACAGCTGCTAAAATCAAAGCCTAGAAGTGTGAGTTGAGTCAATTATAGTTGTATAACCCATATCACAATCCGTATCAAGAGACTCTACAACCTTCCCGACATTATAAGAAAATAAAAAACTCCTTAAAACAACTGAATGGAAACGTTTAAAAAACTTTTCAGAAACACTGTGTTGTATTTAGACAAGAGAAACATTATAAAATAAAATCACATGATAGAAAACAAAATGTATAATTCCAAATATGTGTCAAAGATTAGGCACTTTTCAACTGCCTTTTCAATGACTTGCACTGTTCGAACAGCATATTGTCCTTCCTTCAGGAATAATGCATTATAAACTAAAGAAAGAACAAAAAACTACAACAAAGAGATGTTTTGTAGTCATTGGAGAATATGGCAGCTAGCTTGTAGGCTTTTTAGTGCTCCGATAACACGATTCACCTTCAGACGGAAGACTGTGACCATTGATGTCAAGGCAGAGGACTAAGAACGTCACTTCATTATTCTAATTGACCAGACAGGCTCATCGATCGCTGGGACTACATTATGGGCCTTTAGGTTTAACAGGACTCAATAAACACTGAGGCTTAGGCCAAGGAGCTACTGAAAGAGCTGCCCAGAGAAGATGAAAGGTAATAGATGCTTTAAGGTCATCCGATCACGTTCATCAATGGGAACAGCTGAAATCAGGTCACTAATCCACCTGAATTCATTTACGTATTTATAAACACATTTAAAACAGGCATTAATCTCTGGGATGATCACTTCAACTGTCATGAATAACATATAAAACAGGTTTATTTCAAATAATCCATTTGATAAGAGTTATGAGCACTCAGCAATGTGGGTCTGAAGGAACAACGAAAGAACAACCTTGAAAAAGGGGATTAGTGAGGTGCATCAGCGTACTCTCATGCTTATCATGCCTATCGACAGAGCAGAGGTGGGGATGTAAACAACAAGCAGCTTTTAAATAATTGATCTGTTCTCTGACTCACCGCTGCAGGAGTGAAGGACTGCGCCATGCCATGGTCTCAGTCATCCACTGCCTACTCACACACATACGTAATCACCAGGTGCGCACATTAACATGTACACAGTGCTGTCTGCGGGTGAGAAACTACACAGGTGTTCACACACACATAATCATACCGGGGCGGAAGTGACCATATCCATAAGCATAGGGTACATGCAGACCTAAATCCCCTCTGATCCGCCTGTTTTTGCTTTTTATCGGCCCTCCAGAAGTGAGTCATGGCTCTGGCCAATATGTCCCGACTTACACTAATCCCTCTTGACCTCTCTAACCCTGCTCTCGCTGCACCAGGCTCCTGCTAACAGAAGTTGCTACACAACAGAGATGGATTAAATCTACATTTAAAAATAGAGGCTTGCACTAATTCAGTGAAGAATGCACTAAGGGGTGTTGTACATTATTTCAAAAGAGTTATTAAAAGGCTCCGATAAGCTGCAGAGGTACATATTAGGGCTGAACGATATACCGTGTCATGGCGATAACTGCGGTATGCGCATGCGCGGTATTCACACCGCAGGGACGTGTGGTTTTATTCTTTTTTTAAATGCTAACGCACTTTAGCACAGAATTCAAAATAAAGATACCCTTATTACTTATCGAAACTGCACATACAATATATCCGATTAAAGCTGAGACTCCACAGATTATTTAAGTATAGTATCTAAGCGATCCAATCTCGCAACAGGGGAAGCAAACACAGACATCACAACACGTACCTTTTACGGAGCTTTTACGGGAGATCGTCTCACCGTAGCTGTCAATCTGATCAAAAGACGTGTTCAATGGCATTAAAACGAGAAAAAACGCGGCTGAATCGGTTGATCCATAGGTTGATAATGTATCTGTGGCTTTGAAGCAATTGTTTATAATCCATAATTCCCTGGTCTCCCTCCGCAGCCGGTTGGCGTAGTTTTGGCACAATTCCGTTGTACAGACCGAAGTTAACAGCAGCCCTGTCTGATCTAACCGCCTTCTGGAAAAGCTTCACAAGTACGTACGTACGCAAATGCGCTTTGTGACACAAGTGACAGACAGTACGCATTTCAGATTACGCACATAACCTGCGTACCAGTTATGTGCACCCCTGTACTACAGCAAAAGTATTCTCCGTCGGGACTTCCTGCAACAACACCACGCTGTTATCTTGATTCTGATTGGCCAGAAGACATCAAAGATCTTCTATTGAGAAGACGATCACTACGTGACAGAAGTTTTCAAAACCGTTTCTGGTCTTTGGTATTTCCAGACAAGTGGCTACTGAAATCAATCGAGTTGGCGGACTTTATTTTGCTTACTTTAACATTATTTTTCATGGTGGGGCTAAGCCATTTCTTGGTATGGGTGTAGCGTACCCCAGCCATACCCTGGCGCTGCCACTGGTGGGATGTATGGGGCGGGCCATTCTGCACATGCGTTAAATGCGTTAAATATTTTAACAATTACCGCCGTTAACGCGATAATTTTGACAGCAATAATATATATATTAGGGCCGGGACTCGATTAAAAAAATTAATCTAATTAATTAGAGGCTTTGTAATTAATTAATCGAAATTAATCGCATTTGTAATCACATATAAATATTTGACCTGAGAACAGTGAGAAGCAATTTTTTTCACATGGATTTTAGTATACCATTAGGCGCAGTCACACCGCAGTACTTTTCCCACAAAGGTTCATGAGAACTCTTTGAACCTGGGGGTGGATTAGGCAAATGAAGCCGCTGACGTCACTTCTTCTTCTTCTTCTGCATTGGGTTTACTGGCAGGCAGCAAACCACTTCACGTCGTATACTGCCGCCCAAAGTCCCCGGCCGGAAGTCCCCGGAGTTGGGGACTGGCTTCAGTAGAAGCTGCTGGGAGTCCCAGCAGCCTTCCGAGTAAATCGCCAGAACGCCGACACCTCCTCATCTCCACCGCTCCCATGTTTTATTTTGTGTTGCCATAAGTTAGTCTCTCTGCGTTTCTGCGCTGGGCTAATGCTAATAATGCTAATGCGAGGATAATAAAATGGCGGCTTCACAAAACTTTTTGGGAGTTTTACGGGGCGTGGTTTGCAATCCGCCCAGCCAATCAGACATATAGCTCTTTTCTCACAAGAGAGCCGTACGAAAGTCCCTGCTCTCTAGCAGCTCTCTGCTCTCTAGCAGGGACTTTCGTGGGGGTAAAAAGGTTCTCATGAACTAATTTTAGTACCGGCTCTTTTTGGTGTGAACGCGATAAAAGAGGCTAACGTCCACGCTAGCTGCTATATGTTTTGCATTGAGGTGATACTTGAGTCTTGATGTGCTGCGGTGATATGCGAATTCCTTTTTGCATAATTTGCACACAACCGTGCTCTTATCGACGCTTCCATCCGTCCGTTTTTTAAAACAACATTTCCCACTGTTGTTCACTGTGGTTTGTTGTTGTCTGAAGTCATGAACGTTAGTTGGTGCTCCAGTATAATCGGTACGCCTGAAACTCATCCAGTGAGAAACGTTCCGCGGTGCAAAAATAAGTGCGATTAAAATGCGTTAATTTTTTTAACGCGTTAATTTTTGTGTAATTAATTAATCTTAATTAACGCGTTAAAGTCCCGGCCCTAATATATATATATATTTTTAACACACTTGGTATATATTGACTGTTCACGACTATGATACTTCCTCTTCCATTTCTCCAAGGCCGAGTGCAGGATGCCAATATCACACGTGCCTACGGTTTATCACACCTTTTATTTCTGTGTGTTCCAGACACCATCAAGCTAAAGCTGGCCTTTTACTGCATGCTGTCCTTAAAATAAACTTCAAAACATAACGCTCCGATCTTGCTGCTGGCATTAATGATGTAACATAATGTGGACGAGCTATAATTGAAAGGATATGTTCGATGTTCCGGCGCAGGTTCTCGTTGAGCTTGGCCTCCAGCTCCCCCAGCTCCTCCTCGGCCTTCCTCATGTCTTTCTGCAGCTCCAGGCGAGACTTCCTGGTGTCGTAGTAGCCTCCGGTCAGAGCTCCACGGTGACTCACCTGGTCACCTGGAAGGTCGCAACACAATGTACAACATATAAGAGATGGACTAGAGCACTGAAAATACAAGGTATTGTCAAAGGCAAGTCAAATGTCTTGATTATGGGAATTTTTTAATCTGTGTGTAAGAATATATTGATACAGTTTCAATTGAACATGGAGTTTGATTCAGACAGGGTCGATAGCTCATACTTGTCCTACAGGCTGTATTTGCACATGTGGCTTTTGGAGAGGAGGTTTTACAGAATAGGATTGGCCCATTACAGAGTACAAACAGAAGTATTAGCTACGTTTTTGACATATTACTGATACCCAAAGTTACAAAATCCCAAGGTGATAACTCTTTCGTGCTAATGCCTACCTATATCTTTTAACAGTTTATTGCAGATAGAGACCATCTCTTTTAGAGCTGCAGTCTTACTTATATGTTTGAAGTACTGTGTATTGCATGTCAGGTTACCCTCCAGAGTGATACAGTCCATGGTGAAGGCTCTGGCCAGCTGGGTGGAGACTTCCATGCTGCGACAGATCAGAGTCTTCCCGAACACGTGCTTGAAGGCCTTGTCGAAGGTGTTGCTGTAGCGCAGCTTGCTGATCATGGGAATAGCATCCTTATGGGGCAGAAACACGTTGGTATGAACAAAGTGGCAGATACCACACGCCACGTCTTGTTTCACCTTCAGTTGGCATATATTTAACATACATGACTGCTAGGGGTGTAACGGTTCACAAACATTTCGGTTCGGTACGTACCTCGGTTTTTAGGTCACGGTTCGGTACGTTTTCGGTACAACAGAAAAAATTATCACAAAACAAACTTTTTAAAAAAATGTTTTATTAAACTGTGAATATTCACTCAAATAAATACAAAATATAGTAAAATAAACATTGAGGTGCAGCTTTTCGATGAACTGAAATAATCTGTATTTGAACTGTACTATACCTAAGCAGCCAGTTTGACATTAGGACTTGCTTGTCATTGTATTTTCATGTTTTTTTTAAAGAAAAATTAACTTGTCCACATTGCTTTCCAAAAGGGCAGATCTGCTGGCACTAACAATGTCTCCTGCTGTGGAGAACACCCTCTCGCTAGGGACAGAGGTAGTAGATACAGCCAGGTAGCGCTTTGCTAACATGGCAACATAAGGATATTTGGCGTTTGTAATAGCTTTGGCTCGGTCTGAACTTGTTGCGAGTGTTGGAGGCTTGAATGCTAGTGGGAGTTGGGTTTGCACTTCAGTCTTTTTTCTTTTGGTACCGGTGATATTCACGTTCGGGTGATGCCTTTTCAAGAGTGTGCAAGTTTGATGTATTGCCAGCCGCGTAACCAATGTTAGTTGAACAATGCCGACAAACAGCTTTGGTTCGGTCCACCTGTCTTTGTCCGTCATCCTTGTACGTAACTGCAAAACCAAAATGTTCCCAAACCGGAGACTTCAATGATGCTGGAGGATTTTCGAGCTCAACTTTATCTGCGTTCTCCATTTCGACAGTTCCTCAAATTACTGACTACATTTGAACGCATCCCTGTGACCAGCTCTCATAGTATGCCTCTCGTCCAATGAAATGACTTGCTCACTCTATGACGCGTTGAACTCAATGTGAGCAAGTTACTCTGAATGCTGCGACGCAGCACCTGAGATTACTTCCAAAAAGTTGTTCACGTTCTCAATTGTTTACGTTTAACATTCGGTACACACGTGTACCGAACCGAAGGGCCCGTACCGAATAATTTCGGTACGGGTACGTGTACCGTTACACCCCTAATGACTGCTGTATCTTTAACCTTGATTGTTTAATTATGAATATTTTCTGTCACGGTCCAAATTGCCTGCCTACAGTAGCAGATGTAACTTTGATATGTTCTTACGTTTGTCTCTGGGTAGGCGGTGTCCCTGACATCCAGCTTGGTCAGGGGCAGGAATGTGACTTCTCCAGGCAGGTTCATTTTGTTGAACTCCATCAGTATTTTGGTGCTGACCTCGTCAGTCTCCACAATGTGATAGAACAGTCTGGAAAACAAGAGAGCGCGTAGAAGGCCATCTAAGATTAAAACTAAAAATCAAGGCTGCATCATTGTAAAAAAAAATCTACAAATCTCTGCTGAAGCATTCAATGTACAAAATATACAAAAACAGAGCTTATTATGAGTACACTTTGTTTGATGGGGATATTTATGATTGGAAATAACATAATGAGCAAGCCATTAAAATGTAGTTAATCTGACTCACCTGGTTCCAGCAGTCACCTCGACACAGGTATAAAAGGCGGGCTCACACTCAAAGTTATTCATGACGATGCCATGGTAACCACTGATGACATGCTGGTTGATACCCTTGCGACGGAAATGCTCAAGGACTTTGTTGATGCTGTCACTGCCGTTCAGAATAGACTGGAGGAGCAGAGGGGAAGGAGAGAGATAATGAACTCTAAATAACCTTAACAATAATATATAAAAAATATTGAATTGATATCGATGTTAAAATGAACACAAAATAAAAACCTATTCTAAATCCTATTTTAAATGTTCTCATGACAACTGCAGCCATGATCTCTTCTCTAGAGAAAAACATTTATAACAGATTTCACATTGTGCTGTGAAGAACATATAAAACCTAAGCTGCATTCTGGGAAAAAATCAAATATACCGTAGCTCAAAAACAGAAAGAGATCTCTGTATTTCCCTAATATTGTGCTTCATTATTAACTGTACAGTATAAACATAACAGGTAAAAAACAAGAATGGATAGAGTCCGTTCTGTTCCGAGAGGATGAGTCAGCCGATGAAAGCAAAATAAAACGCAAGACATTTGTCCATGAAGCTACAAACCTTTCATCTCTGCAGACATTAGTTAGAAGTGATATTTGATTGATGCATCTGCCCAGAATAAACGACCGGCGGTTACTGGATGCGGCAGCAGGGAGTGAGTCATGTGTGGATTTAGATAGCTATGATAAGGTGCCATTGGCGGGGCAGATGAATGATTCCACTTGATAAACCTGTCCTGACAACTGGCTGAGTCACAAAGTGAGTCCTCTGCTGTGTTCAGGTGGGCTCAAACGGAGAGAGGCACTTTCTCTTGGGGTTTGATTTTGTTTTATTTCCACATTTCCTCTCTTGCAGTATTCTGGCTGGTAAGCAAATGTATGATGGTTTAATAATATGTGTGGCGTGACAGGTCTACATCTGACAAGTATTGCCTTCCTGAAAAAGGCAGGTAAGTGTGTGTCCTATTATTTATTTACCATGCATCTTAAATTTGAATCATCTGATAAGTATTGTCCACTTCGCTGTTCTCGGCCTCACACAACACAGAGACACATTTCCCTTTTGGAAGGAAGGAAGCATCAGGAACCCTGTAGCTGCTTAAGCAAGTCAATAATCATGCAGCCTCGTGCAGAGACACGGTACCTTGCCGGTGGCCGCTCGGAGGAGCTGCTGCTTCTTCTCCAGCTCTTCTCGTTTGGCAGCCAGGGCCTGCTGCTCTGCGTTCTCCTCCCGCCACAGGTAGCTGGACAGACAGACGTCACACACGGTTACACTTATGTCACAAGACCCCAAACTCAATGCAGCCATGGTACCAACAGAAGAGAAAGGCAGTCTGTGATCAAAACACTTATAAATATGACACTGTAGGTAAAAAAATAAGGACATCTTTTTATGTAAATAATAATAATGTAGATTTGTTACATGCATGTATGAAGCATAAGGTGAAATATTAGGTGCCTTATTATAGCTAAATAATCACATTTAAAATAATTAAAAGCAATACAAATGCCAAAACAATTTCTCTTGTTTTTATTACGGTAATGCTTTTGTCATTTGTTGATATTTTGAGATGAGGCTTGCAGCTGTGGGTTCTGCATGTTGTGATATCAAAGCGGTCATTATGCTGCCTTTTCACCGGCACACCTACACAATGGATCACAGCGAACTGGAGAGTGAATTCAAAATGAGACAAACACAAACATATTCATGTAATCTGTTTCCTTTGCTACTGAGCACCTGTTATTTGTTTATTGGATTTAATTATTATTATTTTTTTTTTAAAAGGTCCAAATATATGTTTTTAAAACTTAAATTAAAAAACAAATTTTTCCTTGAGTGTGTCGTCTAAACCAGCGGTTTTCAAAGTGTGAGGCGCGCCTCCCTGGGGGGGCGCCAGAGAGCTTCAGGGGAGGCGCAGCGTGAGAAAAAAATAACAAGAAAAAGACAAGTAAAGTGTCACTTGCACACCTTTGGCTGTCTGTGGAGACCGAGTTCCCCCACCTCGCCAAAAAGGCTGTAAAAGTGCTCATTCCCTTCACCTCCACCCAGGGGCGGACTGGCCATCTGTGTGTTCTGGAGAATCACAGAACGGCCGGTCATCAGTGGGCCGTTGACGGCCGGCACCGCCCTTTATTTTTTAGGTTTTTAAAAACGGCATCATTTAAGTTTCGCTGACAGGCGACAGAGGTCTGTTCAGCAGACAGTTTACTAGAGCGCTCTACCAATTTGTGTGGGCTGGGCTCGGTGAGATTCCAGGGCAGATTTTTAGTCCCAGTCCGCCCCTGCCTCCACCTACCTGTGTGAGTGCGGGTTTTCCGCATTGACTTTGATCAAAGGCAAGTACCGGTCAAGGCTGCAGCCAGAGGATGATCTGCGTTTATTCCCGTCTACATTGCATCCCCGCATCAAAGACGCAGTAGGTGGTGAGTGTAATAAGGAGGCAAAGTTGACGTTCAGTGTGTTGCCGGGAGCATATAAGGATTTATCCACGATGTTGAAAATGTAAAAAAAAAAAAAAATGCAAAAAAATAAATAAACAAAGATTAAAAGGTTTAAAAAAGTTATTGTTTAATGTTTTAAGGAGGTGACGCTACTCAGCCAATCAAATCGGTGCAGTCAGTGAGTCAGCACGATAGAGACGAGACAAGAAGAGAGAAACAGTCGGAGTCATTTCAAATGGCATGCTCAAAAAAGAGAAAGGTAGAAAGCGAAAACAGAGCATTTAATGACATGTTCTCTTACTGGACCTCTTTGAAATGCAATTGAATACCCTGCATTATAGCAACAACAACAATAATAATAATAATAATAATAATAATAGCAATAATAATTGGGAGGTGGGGGTGCGGCTGTTCTTATGTTCTCTGAGGGGAGGCTCACCTTCCCACACGTTGAAAACCCCTGCTCTAAACGAATAGTTGGAGACTTGAATGGAGACACTCAGTTTGTCGTGTTTCAGGAAGCAGCTGTCTGGGGCAGATTCTCACTATGAAACACATCATCATCCACCCTGGAGGACTTTTTAAAAGCAGAAAGGCGTCTCGCAGCCTGAGGTATCATCCTCTCTGTTAAGGCCCTGACACACCAACCCGATTTTGGGAGTCAGAGGCCGTCAGAGGCTGTCGGGCATTCGCGGCGCCGTAGTCAGGTTGGTGTGTCCCGCACCGTCTGCCGTGACACGCCTTATTTGGACTGCCTGACCCGATGCATGGCCGATTCAACATGTTGAATCGGCCATGCATCGGGTCAGGCAGTCGGACCAAGCAATCACTCTGATTGGCTGTTCAGCTAGCGAATCAGAAGCGAAACGGAAGTGAGGGACGTAAACAAACGATTTAAGAAGTCACACACAGACCAGTGTTGCCAACTTGGCGACTGTGTCGTTAAATTCGGCGGCTTTCCAAACCCTCCGGCTACTTATTTTGTCAAAAGCGACTAATCTAACGACTTGTAATGGTGTTATTAGGGACTTTTCTGGTGTTTGGAGAGTCACGTATTGTTCTGCAGTTAACGAACTGCCGTGAGCCCCTCAGCCCTCCCATAGTACTGACAGGCGCGCAGACTCACAGTTGCCTACCGCAGCAGCTCAGCTGCAGTCAGAGCAGAGAGGAGACAGCCACTCTCCCGCGTCGAGACAGCTTCAGTCACTTAATCACCTCGTCCACTGTGTGTGTGCCTCTCTGTGACAAGCTAAACATCCACGTAGGTCATCATGTCACAGTCTAAACTGTATTCACAAAAGTACAGAAAGGAGTGGGAATCAAACCCTGAGTTTAAAGGATGGTTGAAGCCATTTATTGGAGATGACACACGGGCATACTATACTGCCTTTATTGTAAGGGATATTTCTACTAAAAACTATTTCTACTTTCTACTATAATACATGATAAAATATGTCTTGATTATATTTTGTAGTGTTCGGAATCTTCAAAGTTAACTGAAGTTATCAAATAAATATAATGTAAAACTGAATCAAACCATAAACAAGGTGGCCTGTTGGGATTACTATATATATATATATATATATATATATATATATATATATATATATATATATATATATATATATATATATATATATCTGCATTATTTTATCCCACTTTATGCTTTGCTCTTGCTGCTTATTTTACACTGATTTGATATCTTATTTCTTACTGATGTAAAGCACTTTGAACTGCGATCCCCTGTATGAAAGGTGCGATACAAATAAAGTTATTATTATTATTATTCAGATGGATGTTTCTGCCTCTCTGTTCATTCTCCCATTATCCTCCTCAATCTGCCTAGAAGTATTTTAATGTTGTAGCTGTTACTATAACCAATACTAATGCTAGGGCTGCAACTGACAGTTATGTAGGCACATTGTTATTGTTTCTTATCGCTAACCCCTCTTATGGCTGATAGCTCCAGTGCCGCCCGAAACATGTTTTCGATGGACGAGAGGGAAATGGAACGCACACGCTATTTGTTGTTTGTTTATATCATGCAGTCTGTTCTTCTTCTCTGTCTTCCGGTTGTTGCCTCTTTTGAATGACGAATACACACTACCGCCGCCTGCTGGTAAGGAGAGTTATTGCCACTCATGCACTGAAGTCTTTGCGGTGTGTTCCTGTGCGACACATGGCCAAGACGCAGGAGAACACGGCGACGCAACAGTCGGCGCCGGCTTCGGCGAGTTCTCTGGTGTCTGCTTGGTGTGTCAGGGCCTTTATATAAATAATCCTAATTGTTTAACTGCACAGAGAAGGCTTGATGACATTTACAGCAGACACTACTCTGCTATGTAACTAAAGGTTGCCAAGCAGAACCCACATATTGGCTTAAAGGAAGGGTGAATAATTCAAACTCTCAGCTTCAGACGCAGCCATGACTCATTTAAAGACAAATGTACACCAAGTGATGCTATGTCCTGTGTCACTGCACCCAAAAATATTTAAAAAACATGAGCACAAGACAACGTTTTAACAAATCGTATTAAATAATCTGATGACAGAACTGTAAACAGAATAGCTGAAACTTTAACACAATAAATAACTCAGTTACCTCTAATCATTAACCCATGTTTGTATCATTGAGTTAACTGCGTGTGTTGCTGACGTGGAAAAGTTACTCGTGGATGGGGGAGCTACAGAGCTACTAGAAAGACAGTCGAACCCGGTGCATTCCTCAGTCTGAATGTGGTGCACTTTTGCTAAATGTTTAGACAAATTGCTCGTGTTACTGCCCTCACATGCTAAACACTCTTGGCAACGAGCATTGTCCACCTCAAGACGGGTAACATTTAACCACACCTTGGAGCGCTTCTCTCCGCCATCCCCGCCGTGTGTTGCTGCATGGAGCAGCGAGTGTCTGTAAACTGCCCCGCCCCCTCGCTAACAGGCGGGGGAGAGAGATCTCGTCTGGATTAGAAAGATCGAAAATACACCTTAGACGCATTTGTTTGTCTTTTTGCATATTAGAAACGAGTTGGCGACACTAAGACTTTTTGTAGCAATAATACATATGACATATATTTTTAAAATGTCTCCAGTACCGATAAAAAGACCGATAACGTTGGAGCTTAACGGCGCGTAAAACACACGTGATGACGTCACCAACGAATCGACGACTGAATTAGTTGGCAACTAATTTGGTCATCGATTTTAATCGATTAAGTCAATTAGTTGTTGCACCCCTACACAAGACAAGGCTTTAAATGCATCTCAAGATGTGAGGTCGAACAGAATGATGGGGGTGAAGTTCTTACTTTCTTTCGCTCTGCAGCTCATCCTTCCTGTTCTTCACCTCGTAATATTTTTTGTCCAGTTCCTCAACGCGGGTCTTCACCTCATTAAGATCTTGATCGAGTTTCTAAATAGACAAAGATGAAAGTTGTTCAGAGTTTAGGGGAAAAAAGGATTAATAAGTAGCATTAAAATGTTCCTTAAAAATAAAAAAAACATTTACAGTTCTACAGGAGACAATGTGAATTCACTTCAAATGAAAAACCGTTACCACCTCACAGTTGTATGGCAACTAGGGCTGAACCATATACCGTGTCATGGCGATAACCGCGGTATGCGCATGCGCGGTATTCACACCGCAGGGACGTGCGGTTTTATTCATTATTTTTAAAAAAATGCTAACGCACTTTAGCACAGAATTCAAAATAAAGATACCCTTATTACTTATCGAAACTGCACATACAATATATCCGATTAAAGCTGAGACTCCACAGATTAAGTATAGTATCCAAGCGATCCGATCTCGCAACAGGGGAAGCAAACACAGACATCACAACACGTACCTTTTACGGAGCTTTTACGGGAGATCGTCTCACCGTAGCTGTCAATCTGATCAAAAGACGTGTTCAATGGCATTAAACGAGAAAGAAAAAACGCGGCTGAATCGGTTAATCCATAGGTTGATAATGTATCTGTGGCTTTGAAGCAATTGTTTATAATCCATAATCCCATTTTTATGTAAAAATCAGATCACAAAAGTTAGCTGCTAATGGTAGCCACCTTGGTGGTATGCAGCTTCCGGTTTTGGCTACGAGTCGTCACTCTCACTCCTTATTTGTTCATGTGTTGGTGTGTGTAGAACTTCCCCTGATATTTGACCTTTTTAGACAGATTTAGCACAAAAAAAACCCTCTTTTGGGGCCATTTGGGTGGATTTTCCATATCTCTGGCCCACCTTGCTGGATTTTGACATGCGACATCTCTTTCTGACCGTCAGAGCCAATGGAATGGAGGGGAAATCACACAATCCTTATTTGGTAATGTGTGTGTGTGAGAGACTTCCGCATTGCCAAGACCGGAAGCAGCAGCCACTATGGTGGCTACCATTAGCAGCTAACTTTTGCTCTGCGATATTTACATAAAAATTGAATTATGGATTATAAATTAAATCATTTTTTTTATACAGACGTTAAAAACCTATGGATTAACCGATTCAGCCGCGTTTTTTCTTTCTCGTTTTAATGCCATTGAACACGTCTTTTGATCAGATTGACAGCTACAGTGAGACATCTCCCCTCGAAGCTACGTAAAGGTACGTGTTGTGATGTCTGTGTTTGCTTCCCCTGTCCGAGTTCAGATCACTCAGTGATGATACTATATACCTAAATAATCTGTGGAACCTCAGCTTTAATCGGATATCTTGTAAGTGCAGCTAACGATAAGTAATAATAAGGGTACTTTTATCTTGAGTTCTGTGCCAAAGTACGTTAGCATTTTTCGCTCAGGGGTCATTTAGATGCTTCTTATGAGACTTGTGTTTTGTTTTGGTATAAAATGGTTTGTATCGTCAGTTAGCTGCGATTATTTCCGTTAATCTGGTATAACACATTAATAGGTTCTTAAATATTACGATCCCCTGAGACACTGTCCTGAAAAAAAAAAGTAAAGTACCCGCCGGGACTTTGGGGTTTAACAGGTTAAAAAAACCGCAATATATACCGCAGGGGGGGAAAAAACCGCGATGTCAGTTTTTTTCAATACCGTGCAGCCCTAATGCCAACCAGTTGCAGTTTACATATATGTTGATCAAAATGTTGCTCACTTCTTCATTTGATAGTGTTACAGTTGTGGGAAATTGTATTAATTGGCAAAAGAATACTGGATTTATGGTTGAATGTGTTTTGTAGGGTCACAGTGACATTGATCCGTGACCACAACATTTGTATCAGTTTAGCTTCAATTTAAAAGAAATTCTCTGAGCATTCTTAAGATATCCCATTTATAAGAATTGTACAGAGGGATGAACACAAAATGCCCCCACCATATCATAGGGTATCTTTTTGTAATTGTCTTTCGAAAAAAAAAACATACAGTGTACTGCTCGAGGTTCTTCTCCTTGTTGGTCTCCGTGTCCTCCAGGTCTTTGTTGATGGCTGCGATCTGCCTCTTTTTGTCGTTGATGGCCTGGTCCAGAGACTTCAGCTCCTTCTTGATCCACTTGTCCCTCTCCTCCTTGGAGGTGAACTGGCTGCCTCGGCCCTGCTTGGCGTACAGGTCTGTCCTCTCCTGGGTCGCCTGGGCCAGTCTGCAGGGCAACACAAAGATAGTAAAAAATGTTTTAACTAAATCACAAGTTCACAATGGAGCCATCTATTCATTTCCTGACAAACTGTGCATGCAGATGTTCAAAGTCAACAACCTTTTCCAACAGTTATAGATTAATTCACAGTAGGGATGCACGATATTGGTTTTTTGAAACCGATACCGATAACTTCCTGCTTCTCAAGACCGATACTAATATAATATATATATTAGGGCTGTCAGTCGACTAAAATATTTAAATCGCATGATTGTCCATAGTTAATCGCAAATTAATCGCACATTTTTGATCTGTTCTAAATGTACCTTAGAGGAATATTTTTCAAGTTTTTAATACTCTTATCAACATATGAGTGGACAAATATGCTTTATGCCAATGTTTATTATCATTTGAACAATGACAAATATTCTCATGAATATTAAACACAACAACCTCTGAACATTACAAATATTCGCCTCAATTCAACCTGGAACCTCTCATTCAATAATACAATACAAATGGTGTGTGTGTGTGCGTGTGCGCATGTGTGTGCGTGTGTGTGTGTGTGTGTGTGTGTGTGTGCGTGCGTGTGTGTGTGTGTGAGTGATGGATCGTTGGAGCTATGTGCAACTCAAGGCATATGCTCGAACGGGAGCTGCCTGGACGCTGCAATCATGTTGCGCACTATCCGTGCTGAGTGTGCTGACTTTTCGTACAATGTCCCACTGTCTGGCTTCCTGCATAAAGTCAAGTGCTCGGCGCAGTTGTGGCGAAATGTTCTCATTTAAACAGCTCCTTGTATCCGTTAGCGCAGCTAGCTAGCACCAGATGCTAACAACAACAATGCACGTAAGGTCTCTCTCTCACTCGCTCGGGCCACACATACACACACCCTCCCGGTCCTCCCAATAGCCAGTCGGTGCCTGCCGGTGAGCGTGGATGTGTGGTCTGCCACAAGCGGGCGGCAGGAGCGGGGCTGTCGGCATCAGCTTGTAGATGGTATTTTAAACTCGATGCGCTCTGAAACTACGGGGCGGCCGAGGAAAAAAAATACACATGCGTTAATCGCGTTCAAATAATTAGTGCCGTTAATTTTTTTGCGTTAACGCGTTATTAACGCGTTAAATTGACAGCCCTAATATATATATATTAAATGTACCTGTCGTTTTTGCACACCTGCTGGTAAAAAAAAGACTAGTAGTGAGCAAATGACATGAGCATTACTACTATGAACAAAACAAAGCCAAGAACAGTTTTGACTCTCGTCAAGCGCCATCATTTCTATGATGAAGTTAGAGATCGTTTTAGCCCTGGGGTCGTCTCTGGCAAACTTCTTGCCTTTTTTAAAAGCCTCGTCGATAGGTAAAAGCCCCGGTGCCTTTGCAGCTGGCTTTGGATTCGCCGCTAGTTTAGCAGCGCAGGCGTCTTCGTACGCTTTTAACACACGATCGTAGCGATGGCGATGTTTCAGGTGACAAATCAGGTTGGAAGTATTATAGCTCGTTGCCTTTTTCCCTCCTCGTGGAACTTCTGCATTGCATTTGTTAACACAAATAGCAAGCGAACTATCTAACTCTGAAACTTTGAAATAGTCCCATACTACCGACGACATGTTTGTTTACTGTACTGGCTTCACGGCCGCACACCATTTACGTCACAGCCAGGCATGAGTTAGGGAGCGCTGGATTTGTGAAAAACTCCCCTCTTCCTAAACCACTAATACCACAGTACTGGCAAAACGGGAGGAGCCGAGTGAAAAACAAGCGCCCCTCATCCCAATCCACCCACACCGCAGTATTTTTTTTACCCAAAAAATATATTGTATATTATCGGGGCTATTAATACTGTTATCGGGTTTATCGGGATGACGTCATAATTCCTAATATCGGACCGATAATTATCGGGCCGATAATTATCGTGCACCACTAATTCACAGCCATGTAACACAGCGACGCCGGAATAAAATGTGCTGAATATAATCGACACACTAGAAGCCGGGTTTTGAAAAGGGTGTGATGCAAGAATAAATACCTCGGATTTTGAATTTCATACATTTTTTGTCTATTTCCGGTTTTAAAGGCTGCATTGGAGTAAAGTCATCTCATTTTCAGAATTTACTTGAATGTTCTAGAAGTTCTATTATTTGCCTTAAAGTGGACCTATTATGCTATATTGGAAAAATATATTGTAGGGCCATACCTATACAAAACATGTCTGAAGTGTTTTGCTTAAAATACCAAACAGATCACGCATTGTAACCATGCCTCATACTGCTCATACCCCTCTTTTGCAGCCCTGTTCCAAACAGGCTGATTCTGGTTTAAATGGAACGTCTGCTGCTAGCCACACCCCTTTGTAGCGTCACGCAGTGTTACATTACACATATTCTCTCCAGTAGCCTACAGCGTTAGCTCCATGGTTAGCTGTGAGTGTTAGCATGCTTGCTAATGTAAACACACAGCATATTACTCTCAAAACACGCCGCGCATTGTTTCTGATACAGCACATGACAAGTGTTTACCGCTAGAACAGTGCCATTATATATATAACAACTTTACTCTAAGCCTCCTGCAGACATCCTGCTGAATACACAGACACACAGCTGCGACTGTATATGAAGACGATAGGTTGGGACCAAGCGGCAAACTCTCGGGAAGAGCCGGGACGCTAATACGGAAGTGTCTCAAACTGCAGTTCATCTAGTGGCCAGTAGGAGCAGTCTGCAGAAGGGAGCAATTTCCATAGACCCCATGTTAAAATGCCCAACTTTACAGCAGAAATAAACATGTTTACATCGTGGTTCAAAAAACCATATTCTCTGTATAGTTAGATCCCCCCTTCATGAATATGGATTGGGGGGGTGCATTTTTTCTCAACTCATCTGTTTAATTAATATTAAGCCTTACAGCTTTTGCATAAATTAGGGCGTGGTCACTTTGATGGACACGTACATGCCTCACTGTCAGCTAACAGCAACATGTCCACTCTGCTAGGCTACGGCTACAACGTTAGTTAGTTGTAGTTACCGTACTTGACCCTTTAGCGATGTTCGTGGTGGTGGGAATATTGTTACAAATACCAGACAATTAAAATGTTGTGCGCTTGAATGTACTAACAGAACTTCCAAGAAGTCTAAAATGATAATATTATACATGTTAACCCCGTTCGCAGGTGTTTGTGTGCTTGGTAGCTTAGCTTGCTACTTATTAGCCAGCTAAGGACGCAACCCTTTATACTAGTGGTGCACGATAATTATCGGCCCGATAATTATCGGTCCGATATTAGGAATTATGACGTCATCCCGATAAACCCGATAAAAGTATTAATAGCCCCGATAATATACAATATATTTTTTGGGTAAAAAAAAGAAAAAAATACTGCGGTGTACTTGCATATACATTTTAGTTTATGATTCAGCCTTGGGCAAGACTTTTATAGTCTATGGCTATGACGCCATAATGCTAAACGGGAGCAAATGTTAATAGGGGACCCAATTATCCCAGTGGTGGCCGGCGGAGCTAACGGAGCCGCAGGGGGCTAGCTCCAGCCGGCGTCCCGGAGCTAGCCCACTGTGGCTCCGTTAGGTCCGGGCGGTGGAGTCCGTCTTTTCTTAACGTGTGAATGACAAGCATTAAGAATAACAAAATATAGCTAATTCTCTTGCAGATTGTCTCATTTGATTATGAATGTAACGTTTATATAGGGGAACTACACTGTTAGCAGTAACTTGGTATGCATGTATTTCATGTAAGCTTAGCTTCTTAGCCTGAGCTAGCTCTGTTTACTTCCAGTTCGGAGGCAGCAGGTCCCGCCTCGGCTCCGCCTCTTTGCCCTTATTTGGAACAGGCGGGATTAGACTCTGACGTCACAGTCGAGCCGTTAGTGGCCGACTCCGCCTACTAAGGGCTTCTCGGCAACTCTGCAGAATCCTATGGGTGACATCACGGACACTACGTCCATTTATATATACAGTCTATGGTTGAGACGTGTCACGTGTGCCGGAGAATATAGAGTGGTGAAGTCCCTCCCCTTCCGGTGGACCTCCATGGGACCTTATTTCGGAAAAATTATGTATTGCAGTCAATGGAGAGAGAAAGATTATCTTTCGATCCCGTTTGAATTGTGCCACGAATTACACATATGATGTTTGTCAATTTAAAAGATAATTTTGCAAGTCAAATAAATTCAAATGTGTCGTAAAACTGTGAAGTAACAAAAAATGTTGTGTGAAACGCTCAATGAACTACATCTCAGGTCTCGCACAACAACACACGTCACCAAGATGGCCGTCACTACTGTCTTGTCCTAAAAGTGATTGACCACCCTCACTATCACCACAATGAAACACGTCCAAAAGAATGTCATGCAAAGCTGCCTGCCTGCCTTCCTTTGATTCTCTCTGAACTGCCTGATCTTTTTAATGTTTAATGTCAACCATTTGTGCAGATAGCATGAAGTAGAACAGATCGCCGGTGCTAATGTAGCGTTAGCATTTCTCCCCCGGGCTTAAATGGTGTATTATAGAATGATCACACCGGTGTGACAGTACTCTAAAGGGCTCACGAAATATGACTACTACTCTTACTGTTTAACATTTTGGGTTACTTCATGTTAAGGCTAATAAAAATGACAAGGCCACGACTGTAATGCTAACTAACGTGCTTGCTACTAGCTAGGTAGCTAACTTGATCTAGCCAGCTACTCCTGGTCCTTTCATCAGGCGGGAAGCGAAAGAACGAGCAAGACCCATTGCTGATATGATTACAGCCTGGTACTAAGCACACAGGCATCTTGTTAAAGTTATCTTATCCATCTCTTATATTTAGCGGAGGAAAACAATTGTGACATCACTTACGCGACTCTGGGATTTGTAGTCTTTCTAGTTGCGTATTATTCATAGTCTCATATTTCAACAGTTTTACGACAAACTGTGACTTTTTTGACAAACATCATATGTGTAATTCGTGGCACAATTCAAACGGGATCGAAAGATACGTTTTCTCTCTCCATTGACTTCAATACATTATTTTTCCGAAATAATGTCCCATGGACCGGAAGTAGATGGGCGTGACTTCGCCACTCTATAGGTTGGGACGTGTCACGTCGGCCGGATGTCGCCAATGACGTTATAGGAGCGAAAATTCTGGATCTGCTTGTTAGCACCTCCCCTTTTCTTTTTTAGATGTGGGTACGGAGGAAAAAAGAGAAGGTTTTGTTTTCTGACACTTTGTGTGTACATATTTATGTATAAAAGACATCATAAAGTGCATTTTGCATATTAGGTCCCCTTTAAATTTAAATCAACATTGATTATAATTATTTCCAAATTATTATTGATTAAATAGTTTGTGAAAGCTTAAAAGTCCACTGTACAATATTGTTGCAATATCAATATTGGAGTATTTGGTCAATAATAATTTAATAGATTTTCTTCTCATCACCCACTCTGGATAACAAATGTTCGTCACATTTTTGCATCAAACTACTTTGCAGGAGAATTTATAAATATCTCATGTACCTCTCGGTCTCTTGATATTCAAATGTTTTCAAGAGTGACTGACTCATGGCGTTATGCCTGACCATCGGCCGCTCGAGGAGCCGTGGCTGAGAGTGCGTCATCCCTACCTGGATATGCCCCGCTCCTCTTTCTCCTTCACCATGTTGAATTTGGGTTCAGTCTCCTGCAACTCATTTTGCTTCTCCTCGATCTTCTCCAGAAGCTTCTGACGCTCCTTCAGCAGGCGTTTCTGAAAGAGCAGGAACGGAATTTAAGGGGAAGTATTTATTTAAATATTTAATCTATAGACTTAATTTTCTACTGCCAGTGTATATAACTCCAAAATGTAAAGTGTGAGGTTTCTGCAGGAAAAATTGGTTCTACACATATTTCTAAATTAAAATAAATATAAAACATTTGAAGAAACATTGCATGCTGCTCAACAGTGACACCTGCAGTGAGTGTATCCAATGTGTAGATTGAGTGTTAGTGACATGCATTTATTATAGTAAATATAAACTGATGAACGGTAGGGGTGTAACGGTATACGTACCCGTACCGAAATTATTCGGTACGGGCCCTTCGGTTCGGTACACGTGTGTACCGAAGTGTACCGAACGAATATAACGTTAAACGTAAAAAATTGAGAACGTGAATAACTTCTTGGAAGTAATCTCAGGTGCTGCGTCGCAGCATTCAGAGTAATTTGCTCCCATTGTGTTCAACGCGTCATAGAGCGAGCAAGTCATTTCATTGGACGAGCTGGTCACAGGGATGTGTTCAAATGTAGTCAGTAATTTGAGGAACTGTCGAAATGGCGAACGCAGATAAAGTTGAGCTCGAAAATCCTCCAGCATCATTGAAGTCTCCGGTTTGGGAACATTTTGGTTTCGCAGTTACGTACAAGGATGAAGGACAAAGACAGGTGGACCGAACCAAAGCTGTTAGTCGGCATTGTTCAACTAACATTGGTTACGCGGCTGGCAATACATCAAACTTGCACACTCATTTCAAAAGGCATCACCCGAACGTGAATATCACCGGTACCAAAAGAAAAATGACTGAAGTGCAAACCCAACTCCCACTAGCATTTAAGCCTCCACCACTCGCAGAGAGTTCAGACCGAGCCAAAGCTATTACAAACGCCAAGTATCCTTATGTTGCCATGTTATGTTAGCAAAGCGCTACCTGGCTGTATCTGCTACCTCTGTCCCTAGCGAGAGGGTGTTAGTGCCAGCAGATCTGCCCTTTCGGCAAGCAATGTGGACAAGTTCATCTTTCTTTAAAGAAACATGAAAATACAATGACAAGCAACTAAGCAAGTCATAATGTCAAACTGGCTGCTTAGGTACTAGTACAGTACAGTTCAAATACAGATTATTTCAGTTCATCGAAAAGCTGCACCTTAATGTTTATTTTATTATATTTTATATTTATATGAGTGAATATTCATAGTCTAATAATAATTAAAAACCCAAAACTAATAGTTTATGTTTTGTGAGTACTAGTACAGTAAAGTTCAAATACAGATTTTTTCAGTTCATCGAAATGCTGCACCTTAATGTTTATTTTATTTTGTATTTATTTGAGTGAATACATTATTCACAGTTTAATAATAATTTAAAAAAAATATGTTATGTTTTGTGATAATTCTTTCTGCTGTACCGAAAACGTACCGAACCGAACCGTGACCTAAAAACCGAGGTACGTACCGAACCGAAATGTTTGTGAACCGTTACACCCCTAATGAACGGACATAGCTTCAAAATTCACATTCAATTACAACCTACATTGTGCACATGCAACATTCAAATATAATAAGAGGTTGTAACGCAGAGTGAGTGGTCGACATAATTATTTTTGAAAAAAAATGTGAACCAATTAGGAAAAATCCATCTTTAGATAACAATGGGCTGGGACAGGGGGTTTCATCTCACAGGTATGAAACCTCTACTTTCCCCAAAAGCGCCTCAGACACATCTAGTGACGCAGATCTGCTTCCCTTGCTCTGCATTTTGCTACAGAAGCTTTTGGCTGCTGCTCTGCCAGCCATAGCCAGGTGGGCTTCATCCAGCCAGCAGCCCGCATGCTGCCCGGGACCCATCATGGGTCACACACAGACTGCGCCAATAAAGCCATTATGCATGATTATCGTCTTCATACTCACACGTGCACACACAAACACACACGCACACACACGGCCATACCGAGAGTGGTTCATGCCAGCTCTGTACACACAGCCTCCTGCCAGGGATGATGTAAAGTGGAGCTGATGGCAAATGTTACGTACACAGGCTGGAGCTTCCTCTGTTTTGGTTCTCAATGTTCCCCTCTATTAGACCGGCAAACGTTCTTTTGAAGGATTCAGTACTAAAACTGTCAACTCTTTACATGCTTTATGATTAGCTGATGAATTGATGATGTTAACCGCAAGGAAATTCACCAGGAAGAGTTTTGTTAAGAAATCATGCATAAAGTCAAACTGAACTTTTTTTACGATTTTTTTGACCCACAAGGATGAGTAAGGGGTTGTAAAATGAGAAGGAGACTACTGTTCTCTACATACGATGATGGTGCAGGGGAAGGGGGGGTGGGGGGGTGACTGGTGCAGCGTCACGTGTGCAGAGTGACGCAGATGGGAGGCTTCCGTACCCTCTGCTCGCTGTTGCCTGCCAGCTCGTCCTGCAGGTCCTTAGTCTTCAGCTCCAGTTTGGTCCTCTGCTTGATCTGCTCCTGGCGCTCGGCCCCCAGCTGCTCGCGCTCCTCCTTCCCGGCAGAGATCTTAGACTTCAGCTCTCGCACCACACGCTCCGTCTCCTACAGGAAGGGAGCCAGAGGAAAAAAAGGCTGTGAGATTCATTTCAAAAGGAGAATAAAAACAACTTACTTAAGTGATTGTTTTGATTTAAAATGATGAATAAATTGATTTTATGGACGCTAAAAATATGAAGTTTGACCTTATGATTTTGAGTAAATCACTAAATATTGCAAATCCTCTTTTATAGACGTTGCCATCATGCTGCAGTGTTAGTAACAATAGTTATTTGAACTCCTTACCTCTACTTTGTCGCGGGCATCTTGCTGAGCATCACGCAGCTGTCTGGATTTGTCTCCACAGGTCTCTCTCTTGCTGGACAGCTTTGGAGAAAGAGGACAAAAAGGTTTTGGTTTTGAAATTGTACACAACAAAGGACAAAACTAATTGTATTTGTGCACACAGATTGGTCGATTCTTACATTCATTGTTTAGATCTTTTATATAATTTTTTACTTTCAAAAAACGTTATACCTGACATCAAAAAGACTGATAAACTAAAATGTACTTTCTGTATTATTTTGTGTATATGTAATATTCTGAAGAATGGGCAGTGATCATTTCCTACCTTGGCATCAACACAAATGTTTACAACCACACACTGTTATTTGTATATACAAAGAATGTATTTGTTTCTCTTGAGTTGGTTACCTCGTCCAGCTTGGCGCGGGTCTCGTTCAGCTCCTGGTTGTAGATGGTGTACTCCAGGGCTCTTCTCATCTTGTCCCACTTCTGGTACTGAGCCAGCTCCTCCTTCTCATCCTCCAGGGTGTGCAGACGCTCCTCGATGTACTTCAACAGCTCATTGATCTTCTCTCGCTTCCCCTCTGAAGAACACATCAGATTGTTTTTTTAAACATGTAATACTCTATTAATTGGGACTGGGTTTTATTTTTATGTCATTGTTTTGTCATTATTTTTTTTAATTCTTAAAAGTGTTTTCTACAATACCAGGGGACTCTAGACTAACAGCATCCTGTATTAATAAAATCCACAAGGACGCCGTTAAATCATAATCTACTGGTCAAGTAGACTTTGTATTTTTTTCCTAACAATGCTACACAAGTCCGTAGGAGAAGAGCTAGTCAACGTTAGCTGTTAGCAGCCAGTAAAGATTATTCCTTTGATTTATAATATGACATGTTCAAGTTAAATTATAACCCTATAGCAGGCATCCTCAAACTACGGACTCTGGTCCGGATCCGGACCGAACCACCACTGTCTCCGGACTCTGAGCAAATTATACTTTTCATATGTATTATCTCTCTGTATTATATGTGAGACATCGCCACAACGCATTCGCAACGAGTCAAAATTCTCCGCTATGTCCACTGCAAACAGCGCTCTGCATGTCTGACTGTTCCACTGTGTTCCACCTGTGTGTGTCAACGCTTTGGTCCAATCACATTCAGCATCCAGTCAGCGTTTTTTCCCCCCAAACAATCTGCGAATCAGAGGCACAGTAGGGCGGGTCTTCGCGGACTGCGGGTGGGAAAAATGTGTGTGTCTCTTTCAACCTGTCTAAGTCAGAGCGAGAATTAAAAACAAAAACATTCAGAGCGAGAGTTAACAGCTCATCTAGTTCCATCTGTACTGTAGCTAGTAGCCTAGTTTCACCTACGGGGGTGGCAACTGACACCCTAAAAATAGGCCTTGCCACCCCAGCTGCCACCCCAGTTGGCAGCTTTGTTTTGAAAGAAAAGTTGTGGCTCATCGGACATTTATGAGAGAAAATCTCTAATGTCCGAGTGCAAGTGAATGCAACACAAGATGCACGTCATGTAACCCCTCCCCCGGTCCTGGCGCGAGCGTGGACATACGATTGGTGGCGATTTCATTTTGAACTGGACGGCGCAAAACGAGAAGCATTCGGACCCAAGCGCTGAAGGAATGAGGTATTTGCGGTCTACACTGACAGAGAAGAGACTGTCAGTGTGGCTGTACTCAGCATTGCATCAAAACGCACTGAAGCTGTTGATCTTAATACGTTTGTGAGGCGTTTTTCTGAACAAAATGGTAATCGCCGCATTCAGCTGTAATAGACATGTCAACTTGATGCTCTGCTCACGGATGAGCATATACACAACTATTAAGATGATGACCTTACGTGTGTAAATATATTTTTTTCTTTGAGGGGGTCTGCCCCCAAAAAACAGTTTTAAGTCCTGAGAAAGTCAAATAAGACGGTGTGTAAAACTACACTGCCCAGCCAAAAAAAAGTAACCACTTTGATTTAACTAGGCCAGTAGGTAAGGGCTTTCCACTGGATAATAACTGCAGTATAAAAGAATGCATGACTGAAGTGATGGAGACCATGTTGAAGGCAAACAAAAAGAGGAAATAACAGGTCAAATCAAGCAAATCCCCCTCTCAGATTCCACAGCAACCAGAAGAACATACATACTGGCTGGTGATTTGATTCATCAGCTTTGTGATGGAATAGAAAATGCACAGTGCATTTCCTTAGCTGTGGGTGAGTCCACTGACACCACTGACAATGCTCAGTTGCTGGTGTTTGTGAGTTGTTATGATGAGGCAAAGGGGGAGTTTGTTGAAGATGTGTTGGGCCTGACGAACCTCAGTGGACACACAAGGGGGCATACATTTATAAAGCAATAATGGGAATGCTGAATGAAAGAGGGTGCAGCTGCCTTTATTCCTAACTGTGCAGCTCTTACACTGCGACTCTGAGGGGTCAAGCACAGACACAATAACAATGAAAACTGCTGCATACAGATTACTTTTGTTTTTGCAACCTCGTGTTAAGAATCTTGTTGCAATTGTTTAAAAGTTTGAATGACCGTAATAAACGGACCTTTGTCTTATTAAAACATTTATTTTGGACCTTTAAGATTTGTATTTGAGTACCCCTGCCCTATAGTGATCTGTTTACAAGAACAAGTTTTTGGCGAAAACCTTTTTTTTTTTTTTAAAAGGGAGTTATATACAATTTAAAAAAACTGTATGAAAATGTAACAAAGGAGTATTTGTAAGGACCTGGGATTGATGTTTTGTTTCTGTTTTATATAGTGGGATCAAATTCGGTATGAAAAATAGTGACATTTCAATGGTACAGGTATTGACTACCAATAGCTGGAACAATCTATGAGACAATGATGTTAAAGAAAATAATGACCTGTCTCCTTCATGAGAGAAATACTCTCCTCTTTGCGCTCATCGTACACTCGTGTTCCCGCCACCTCTCTCAGAAGCTTCAGACGCTGGGAGTCAGGAGCCGTGGCCATTTGGTTGATCTGTATTAAAACATTGAAATTATGCATGAGGTGAAAAACACTTCTGTGAAATTTAGGTCCAAGACTTTCATGCATGGCATTTTTTAATTCTTGATACTTTTGAGCCGATTTCCTCATTTTTGACACTAATCCTTAAATCAGCAGATTTTGAACAGGCCAAGCTATTCAGTTAAACACAGTGGGCACTCTTTTTACTGCCCTGCTTAAATACTGCAATGCATTACACAACAGCCAAAAAGAAACGTGTGTCTTGTGTGAAGTTTAGCCCACCCACTCCTCTCTCACCTTTCCCTGCTTGACGATGTAGTAGGGGTTGCTGCGAGAGAAGCCGGCACTCTCCAGAAGGTTCATGACGTCGTTCTTACTGCAACAAAAACAATCAAACGAGTGATAACATGAATTCATAGGGTTGTTATTTCCTGTGAAAAAATGTACCGTCCATCCCCTGCAATACTTACGTCACCATCTTCTTGTCTAAGAAGTACTGGTCCTTCTTTGCGCCAATGACACGGCGGAGGGAGACTTCCTCTTTGTCGATCTGAGGGGAGAGACAGGCATCACAGTTGAAGAGGACAATCACACACATCAGCAGAACTGACTGGTTATGTCACAGTGTCACCAGGCTTTGGATTTCTAGAGAAGTGCAAACATCCGGCCTTCATCATCACAATAATAAGCACTGGAGGCACTGGGACTACAATCACTGGACACAGCAATCGTCACCAATTTAGGAATATTATAGTGATGATGCACCACTTCCACTAGGAGACTAAAGATGTTGATGAAACGAGAGGTCAATAAGTTGTACTGTTGGTACAAACGCGATGTTAAATGGTTTACGTTGCCTCTCTTAAAGCCTTACATATATGTTTAAAAGTTGGAAATATAGCACGCACATTTAATCTTACATTGGTCAATCCACACAACATGCCAATAAACCAGTACACCTCTTGCTTTAGCTTAAACAGGCTTCAACTTTTAAAACAACCAATTACTTTTCACATACACACAGAAGATGGGTATTCTTTGAGAGGCTTACTGAAAGGACTTCAAGTGTATCAGGTTGGAAATAATAAATTGGTGTGTCTAAGATTACAGTAATAGGATCAACATAACATGTTTGCAATTCCTACCGGCAGCCGGTTGTCAGAGTTGTCAAAAATAATCTCCACAAAAGCCGAAATGACACGAGGACCAGTTCCCTCCTACAGTGAAAGGGGAGGAAAAACATAATGATTAAATGTTATTCATAAGCCTTGTATGTTACAATATGTTTCATTCTCCATCAAAACGTATTAGTTCAACAAATATGCAACTAATCCTTCAGGTATTAGGAAGTTGCACAAGCTTTTGTCAGCGTAAGTATGGCTAACAAGCTATTTGTACACCACCACAGGGTTAGGAGTTTCTGAAGGTTTCCCGAACTTACGTGGAGCAGAGCCAGGCGCTGTTCAGGTCGCAGGTGGCTGAACTCATCACTGAGCACAAACTGGATGGCTAAGGAAGCACAGCCGAGTCACAGATTTAGACAACAAAAAACAACTCAACATAATAGAATAATAATAGAATAATGTTAATAATAATACAAATAATGAAGGAAGACATACCATAGAAAAAGTTACTTTTTCCTGATCCATTTCTTCCCACTGTAAACAGACAAGAACAAATAAGATGAGTACATAGGGACATAATGTGCACAGCCACCAACATGAGACATGGCACACCGATTTCTATTAGCATTCAAAGTAAATGCCTTCATTCAAAGTACATCACCTTACACTTCATATTTGTTTTAAATACGGTAAAGTACAACAACATGAGAAAAGTTGAGGTGTGCACATACTCACCGATGACATTGTGTTTTGGGCTGAAGGGGTCCACCACAGTCTGGTCCCTGTAACTTCGGAACCCCTGGATGATGACCTGCACAAGAACCCAGAGACCACTGTGAGCAGGACAGCCTCATACTGACACAACATCAACCACAAACTGTGGCTAGACACAGTTATGCAGAGATGGAAGTAACTAATTACATGTACTCAACTTCAATTTTGAGAGACATCTACTTTACTTGAGTACTTCAATGTGTTGCCAGTTGCCACTATGTACTGTTATTTCCATACAAATAGTAAATAGTGTACTTTTACTCCACTACATTTATATAATACCTTTAGTTACTTTGCCCATTTGGATAAATAATGTGAAATATAAAGAACACATTCATTTGTTTTTTGTTGCATGGAGTTTGGACATTCACAAGCTGCCCTGCAGCATACTAAGTAATCAAACTAGCTGCATATTTACCAGCTTTGATAACACTTTAATGCATCAATATTATAATCACAAAACATAATACATTTTTCTGAAATTTGCCAATTTGTACTTTAGGTAAATTAAGTATATTTTGATGCTTATACTTGTATACATTTACTTGAGTAACATTTTGAATTCAGGACTTTTACTTGTAACAAGAGTATTCCTACACTCTGGTCTCCAACTTTTACTAAAGTGCAAGATTAGTAGAAGAGTACAAGAGAGTACTTCTCCCACTGATAACACCCTCATAATTAGAACAAAAATAAACACAAACTGCAGCTAGAAAAAGTTATGTGACATGACTTTAGTAGTAAGCCAGGAACTATTAATGAATGCAGCTTTATTACAGCTTGGTGCCTCCGATATAAGTCAGACTCAGCATGGATGTGCTCAGCCGAGCATCAGAGTATCATAAACGGGGAACGATGATTTCCAGCAGGGCCTAGTCTGTCGGCTACTGTATGAGCCAGTTTTCATTCAGGACATTAACGTGTTTGCAAGGTTGCTAACAGAATAGCACATACACTTGACAGCCACGATGTTTTCAAAGCAGACATTTGCATTTAAAGAATAAGATTGCAGCATTGTATCGTGAAAAAGTTATAGAAAAGCGAACAATCCGCTAACCCACCGGTTAGCATGTAGCGTTAGCTTAGCATCCCGGGAAGTGGGACGGGCAATTCAACTCAACATTAATCCACATAGCACTTGCTAGCATTAGCAAGCTGGCTATTTAGCCTAAGTGTGTTTGCGTTAGCATAGCTATGCAATCATATTAACGTTAGAGTGTGTGCAAAACCTCGGTTTCCCAATAAGAACCGTTTGTTGGAATAACGTAAAGATAGCCTGGTGAAAGTCGGCAACACGCACAAGTCTGGTGTCGTTATCTTACCTGTTTGATGTACATGGCTGTCTGAACAAGGCGGCTCCTTGGCTGACTACGGAGATAAGCTCCCTCCGCACTTAGCTGGAGAAGCCGGGAAGTTAATAATCCAAATTTAACAAATTATAAGAAATTGATGCATTCAAAATTGGTGAAACACTGGGAGAAGAGAATAACATGGAAAATGGCGGCGGGGGCGGGATAAAATGGATGATACCATTATGTGAAAACAGGGTTGTAGTAATACAAACATATATAATGCTGTGTGATGGTGTTATAAATTAGACAGAATCTAACAATAGACAATTCAATTATGTGTAATTTGAGTATCGTCAATCATTGAAGCGATGTTTTTGTATGTAAATAACATGTTGAACACGCTTGCTGTTAACCTAGCTACCTATCTGTTCCACTGGTACAGTCTAGCTGTCTGTCTTAGGCGCCAAACACAGAAAATAGTCGATGATGAAGATGCACTCAAATTGAAACATGTCTTATCGATCGATAAACAATTCTGTTTACCGATTTCCCCCCAATTTCATGTTTTATTCTTTCTTTAGAAAGTACAACGTCAAACTGTTTCATATGGAAATGTGGACAAAAAAGCCTAACCTGTTGCTGTTTTTTAAATGTGTTCTCATCCTCATGTGTTTTCATCAGTTTCCATTGCCTATGTTGCACTTGTTAACACTAACCTGACATAAGCTGATATAAGTGCAGTCTAATCAGAACTATGAATTATAAAGGCCATCTCAGTCACTACTTGCCAACCTTGAGACCTCAGAAATTATTGTATTGTATTATTGTAGTTGTAAGTGCAATGCCTTGCGGCCTGCAGCACCATCCTTGATGGAGCATATGTGTGGGCTGGACCTGTATTCAGGAAAGGAGTGAGCAGAGGGTGGAGTTGTCGATTCTTGTCCTGTTTTCTGTGACTATTTTCCTCGCCCTCTCAGACTTTCAGTTGCGCGCGCTAATTTAAGAGACGTGCTACCATGGAAACCAAACAATGTTGTAGCCTGTATTAAAGTCCGAGTGGAAACAGTCCTGAGTAAATCTGATATTGTCAAAAATAGGGAGAAATGCGGGAGAAATATGACCCCGGGAGGAAACCGGGAGAGGGCAATGAAATCTGGAGTCTCCCGCGAAAATCGGGAGGGTTGGCAAGTATGGTCACTGCAGGTGTCACTGTTGCCTCTTCTGCTGCCCATTTGGGCCTGTCCTATCAACTTCTAATCCCCAAATGCAATTAATGCCAAAAGTGTTATTGAGTGTGTTTGTGAGCACACCAGTGTCCTGGTTATGATTTTTGTAATATTCCTGTTATATTGTGATTGTAAACATCCAGCTTTCAGAAACGTGCATCTGGTCTCTCAGACAGTAACCAGGACCTGCAGTGGCATGGTGGGATGTGCATGGAACTACATTAACCTACTTTACTTACTTCATTACAAATGTGATACTTTTAAGTATTTCAATTATGCAACTTTGCAGCCTACTTTTACCCCACAATTTGTCAGAGGAAACTATTGAAATGTATAAAGTAGTTCAATTGAGCACATTCTTTCACATCAACGGATGAATACGGGAGTATAATATTGCACTTAAACTTAAGTAAAGTTTCTGAATACTTCTGACACCACTGGTGGCATGGACACCTTACAGTATAACGATTTTTGAAGTGACTGAGATGGTGAGAAACTACGACACAAAGATGATCAGAAAACTTGAAACCTTTTGAAATCAGGTAATGATAAAATAAGTTTATTATGTTCCATGTAAACATCATACCCGGAACAAGATCTTAACCCGAGTAAGGATAATAAGGCCCATGTAAACAAACTATTCTTACTACTCTTTGATGTTGTCAAACATCAACTACTAAACATAATGCTGGAATAACAACGTGACAACAACTTAATTTTCATGGTGAAAACATTTATTAAACACATATTAACATCCACATTATTGAAAAAAATCAGACAGACAATTTTGCAAATAAATTAGGTTTCATGCCTGACTGTATTTGTGAATAGGCATAAATCACAATATCAACCTAAGGCATGTATATTGCAGTATATCACTGTGCTGTGTTGTTTCATCATAGAAGTACAGAGGACAGGTAAACAAGGTCTGTAGCCCATCGTTTTTTTCATTAGTTCCATGAACTGAATACTATTACCTTGACACTTCTGTTTCTGTTTATCTGCTCTGCTGGCTTCAACACGAGGCACACAGAGAGCATCAATTGTTATTTTTTCAAGTAAGATACAAGCAGTCATGGTTCATTTTAAGGCAGTGCAGTTATTGGGCTCAGTGTGAACTGGTGGTGGACCGGGGACTGCAGGCAAGAGGTAGGGAGGGTGAACACAGATGGCTCAAAGTTTTTGGTGTTGAAAGTGGTGTTGAAGTCGTTGGCGAAAAAGGAGGCGGACTCTGGGGCGCAAGGTGTGGCAGGTTCAGGTGTGGCGGCATGAGCAGGGGCCATTGAGAGGACCTCTGATTCAAACTGCAGCAGCTGACCCATGAAACTGAAGTTGGGTGAGATGACTGCCCGGCGCTGCTTGATGATGTCGAAGGCCGCATCCAACCGCAGCTGCTGCGTCCTCATGATATAGGCCATGCAGATGGTAGGTGAGCGGGAGATGCCTGCTTCGCAATGGACTAGAACCTTTCCTCCTGATTGCTTCACGTTATCTGCAAGGACAAGAGGAAGAAGAAGACAACGTTAATGACCTGTGGCTGGTTGAATGCACAATGGTTCTTTCTTTCTGTGATCATAGGCAAAATGGTTGTACAGAATCAAAAGTTGCATTATAATAGTTCATTTCAAAATAATGGCCATGGTTTTGTGTCATGTTTTACTATTCTGTTTTGGTGTTTGTGTTTGTAATGGATGTTTAAAGTCAAGTTATGTGGGGGAAAAGTTAAAAAGAATCAACAAGGCGTTTTAAACAGTCAATAATAACAAATGAAAATCACCCAGATAGGGTATTCATTGCCTACTTTTTACTCCCACTAACTAACGCGTTTCTGTAAATCCATTTAGCTTGTCTCTCGCACATAAACAAAAGCAGGATTTAATGGACAAACAGATACATCAACCATATCAGTAGGCTTTTTAGGGACGCAGAAATGCTTTAGTTGGGGATGCAGAGACACTTGTGAGGCTTTTCTGAGTCATAGGGAGCAGTGGTACATGAGACTGTCTCTCTCCTACACTGCTGTGGGGGCGCTGGGTGCTGCTGCAGAGCTCACTGTGTGCTCCAGTTTAGAGTTTCAGCACTCCTACACACTTATCTGAATGTTCTGATGCCCACATAAAAACCTACTTTCTGTTATGAGTGTCACTCACGACCCATTGCAAGATGTGGTTAATATAATATAGTAAGTTACACAAAGCCACTTCAGACCCTAACACATCTCTCTCTCTGTTAACTAGAAACATTGAGGGCCACATCTGTCTGGGTATGAAAGACACAGCAGGGAGAAGTATGATTTCTGACAGCTCTTATCTACGTAAACCGCATAAATGAATCATGATCTTCCCATCTGGAGTGCAGGATGGTGGACAGCGTGAAAGCAGCAGTGGGTCAATAATATTTAGCACATCCTCTCTGACTGTACATCCGTCACCATGCATGTATGCGCATGCGTGCGCAGAGATTGTGATTGGTGATTGATTTTCGTTTGGGGCCCAGCAGCAGCCCGGAGATTATTCGTGTGCACCATAATCATTTGGCATGGTTAATGAACTTGGCTGGCCCTCTCTGAATGTAGGCTAAACCTGAACAATTTTCAGCATTATGTAAAAAATAAACAGGCTTACACAAAGGTAACCTGAATGTAGGCCGCATCCTCAAATGCACAATAAAAACATTAGACACCCAATACTGGTCAGCCATGCTGCTCGTGGGTGCTGTCCTTGATTATGCCTGGCTATAAATAGCAAAAAGCACATTATGTGCATCTTTTACTGCTGCTGCTGCTGCTACTGCTATTATCCAGCACCTCTTTTCCTCTGTAACACATTCCCTTCCCCCCTGCCATAGGGTCCGACAGTATTGACACCTGCAAGCAACCAACAACTACACAATCTCATTATGTGTCAGTCAGCTGGCTTTTTTGCTCCATATAACCATCACAAACAACTGTGTGTTAATGACAGTCAGCCCCAAACCTCCTCCACCCGGACATTACTAAACACGGACAGCTCACACAGTTGTCACACTGACTGGCCACACCCGGCAGAGCAAAGCCACAGAGATTAATGCCTGGGAGGCGATGACGGCATGGGAGTGTATTTTTCAAGTAAAGACAAGGGAGGGAGTTCAGAGGGGGGAAGTGACCAAATCCTGAATGAGGCTGGCTGGATGTGTTAGTGGGGGATTGATGGAAGGCAATAAAGTTAAACTGATTACAGGATTTCTAATCAGCCCTCTATTTGTGAATGAATGCAGGCGAGAGGCAGCGACATAGAGTTTATTTGACGACACATCTCAAACACCTATGTATAGGAGATTCCTTAAGGTAACGTTGCATTTGAAATAGAGAACTTGTTCTAGAAAAGACGCCATCTTGGTGGTGGTATATGTATTTCCCTAAAATAGATTGAGGGACAGAACCATGATGTGCTTTTGTGAATGTAGCCTATTTGTTTGTGTATTGTGTGTTTAAGTGTGTGCATGTGTTTTTCTTTTCTATTTTAACTAAAGCAAACCATTTGGATAAATAAAAGAAGAGCCATGCAGGCAAAACATGCATTTCCTTGAACTCACCAATAAACTCTATGGCCTCCTGGAAGTGGGAGCTGATGTCGGCCATGTGACTGTCCTCCACTGGGATCCACTTGTAGTCGTAGAGGCCCTTGGCCGGCTGCATGTCCCTGCGCGACACATTGAGCAAGGCCGTGATGTGAAGGTCGCTGAGATAGTCCTGTCTGGAGGCGTGGTAGGCACTACCGAGGTAGAGGAAAGGCAGGATCTCTACAGGTTTACCCTGAGGGGGAGAGAAAAAGAGATATTAGTTAATGTCAATAAGGACTAACAAGGCAGTTGTATTCATGGCCACCTAACAAGACACAACACTGGACCCCAGATACTGATGCCTCTGCTTTAATCCATCCCATAATACACCCCTGAGATAAAGGGTCCGAGCCACAACATAGAAACACCTGCCATCCTGTTAATCTGCAGGGAAGAACATTGTGTTCATATGCAGACGAAATACACACAGATGCGTACATCTGCATGGGGGGATTTCTCCTATCATGTTTAAATAACCAACAATATATCAACCAGACTCAATAGAGTGTTCTTTGAGATGTGAAGCTGCCTCATGCTTTCTATTTGGGCAGTGGAGGAGATAGAAGGAAGGTCAGAGATGAAAGACTGTTTTCCTCTGTGGGGTATTTTGATGTCAGCTGGGCATCGGTGAATAGGCTCTCCCATTTTTAGCAAAATATGAGGTCAGGGAGCAGTGAAGGTCAGATAATATCAAAATGATGCCGCATATAATTCTCTTTGATGTCAGCAGGGCTTGGAAGTGTGTGCTTTTTTTTATAAGGTTACAAATAAAAACGGGCATGTGTGAGAGAGTGAGGTAATGTATTGTAGGGTGTTTCCATACCTGATCGTAATCTGGTTTGCGGTGAGAAAGCTTGTCACTGTGGTTGTTGACTCTTTTCTCGGTTTCAGTTCCGCTCTGGTCGAGGGTTTTCACCTCAGTGCAAAGTTCAGGGTATTGAGAGTGGAAGTTCTCGTATCCTCCTGAGAAAAAACATGAACACATCATTTAATGAATAAGCTTAGAATAGTTCTGCCTCCATGCCACCAACAACACACACAAATACACATTATTGTGAAATGGCAAATCTTAAAAACACGTCTAAGCAGCTGATTATAACATTTATAACCTGATTAAAAGTTAACGTTAATTACAGTTGTGAAACCGGTAATCCTGTAAGGGGGGCCACATCCTGAGGACGCAGAGGTGACAGACGGACATTGATGTGTTTCAACACATTATCCAAAGCACGATGCTGTTGTTTAACTGCGATTTCATTTTCTTTCTTTTTGTATTTATCAATGAAAATCATTGCAACACCAACGTTTCTCTCGCACTGACTCATCCGCTCCCTTGACGCACACAGGACATATCTCTCCGAGAACCGAGACGGTTTAATCCCAAAAGAAGACAAATAGACATTTAAAAAAGCTTGTGAAACATTTAAGATGTGAATAACCCTGCCTGCTTTTTTAGATTTCTATTCTCTCCCTTTTCTGGATAAAAAAAAAAGTGTCATTATAACAAAGCTCTCACCTTTCAGGAAACAGATGTTTGCCCCGCTGGCCAGATGCGATAGAGTGTTTATTACTATTTGTGCTACACTGTCCTTCTTCAGTTTCTGCCAGTGGGACGTCCGGTCATCCAGAGCTATGATGGTCGATATGCTCCCCTCCCGGAGCCGGAGCAGGGAACTCTCATCCGGGATGACAAACTGCAGAGGCACCGGCCCTCCTCGGGACCTCCGGACCACCACTGAGTTCAGATTGACATTGATGGAGCACCCGATGTTGGAGCTCGCGAAGGAAAGATAGGGTCGACAATCCACAATAAGGCAGCTCGCGCACTCCTTCCTGATGATCTTCCTCAGACGCCGGCAGTCTATGCTGGTGACTTTCATTTTGACGCAGAGGATTTGTTATTATTATTATTGCCTTAAGAATTCAACTGGAGGAGAAGGGTGAGCGATGGTTCCCGTGCGCGTCCGTGCTTACATGTCCTCCAAGGGGATTCCGGCCGATCGGTTTTATGTGAACGGGACCTCCGGCTAGTGACGTCACGAACCATATATGGACACCGGCGAGTTGTGATCGCAGTGAAAGAGAAAACGCCCACATCTATGACTCGGCTGTGGCCCCACCCCCGGTTACTGTTACACAAAACCCTACTATCGCAGTGTGTCTGATTCAATATTCAGTAAAGGTTTCTAATTTCTCTAATTCCCCTCCTCGACTCCTGTCCTCGTGTCTTAGTCCCTCCCACAGGAGATGCGAGTGGAGGAATCGAAGAGGGGAACCGAGGAGAGAGGAGGCGAAGCAGCAGGCGTTTAGAGAAATTAGAAATCCTTAATGATGACAGGAGGCACAGCAGCACTCTGTCTGACGGACAGAACTGTGTTCATGACGACTTATAGATACTTACTTTTAATTCATTGACAGTGCGGTATAATGAGACAATAACAGGCTACAGATGCGGACATATACACACACACACACACATATATATTTATATACCATTTCAGAATCAAATAAGTGATTATAGTGAATAAGAGCACTCTCATAATAACGTAACACCATCAGAGACTGGATATATCCCTCCCATATGCATACACACTTATAGAGGAACATTACAGAAAAAGATTGAAGTGATAATACAGGACCCATGACTGAAATGTCTGTTAAAAGACAACATTTACAGTGATTGAATTGTAAATAAGAAATGCTATCATGACTAAGGCTCACATACACTATAAACTCATTAGTGAGTAGCACACTCACTGTTCTGTAAATCCTTAATGGTGATTTATTTTGTTAAGGCTACTTGTGAATAATCGTTCATGCAATCATGGGGACTTTTAAGGAGAGCTCAGTAGCTGACAAAAACAAACCTCTAACTTCCGCTTAGTCCTATGTATAGCCCAGGGAACCTGCCTTATATCCCCCAGTATGTAAGCCTAATCCCCCAATTGAATTAACAGGTTTAAACTGCACACTGCATGCACTCACAAGACGTGCACTCAAATGTAACATGCAGCATGTACTGTGTTTGGGTTCTGTTTGTGTGTGTTGTATTTGAATATGTAACTTTTTCCCTTTTTACAACAGAAGACATTTTGAACTCACTGTACTGTATGTCATACTCGGAGGCGATTGCAACGCAAAAGTGCAATTTAAAAATGTTGAACTATTGCTTTAGTGTTTTCAAATGACAATGGCTAGTTACTAAAGCAGCCACTATAGCTGACTGGTTACTTTGACTGTTTTAATTTCTGCATTTCTTCATTGCATCCTGTATGTGTCAACATCCTTTTAGAGGGCCAGAGTGTTACAAAAGCTCAAGGTTTAAAGGCCAAGCCATGCTTAAAATGTACCACATACATAGTGTAAACAAGAGGTACTAAAAAAAATAGCAAAACAGAGAGAAAGAATGAGGGAGGGAGGCATGGAACAACAACAGGAATGAGACAAATAGACAGAAAAACATTTAAAAAATATATAATAATTACAGAGAGCCCTATAGGCCATGACAGTAGTTCATCCAATACTGGCAAGAAGACTGGTTCTGTTCTGTTCTGTGTATGTATTTAGATGGAGATATGGATAGATAAAACTGAAAGATTCACTTTAATTAAATGTATTATGTCAGCAAATTACACCTATTTACACTAAGAATGAATTCACATGTCTGCATTTTTTAAATCAGTGAGATCACAGTTCAATTTAATATTATTGTTTTCAACTAACCTAAAACAATTATGTGTAATTAGTTGACAATACGTTTAATTAAAGTCAATGTTACAGTTTTCTCAGTATAAATAGATCGATTGGAAGATTAATAGAGAGATAGGAAGAAAGACAGACAGACAGAGAGATGGATGCACTGTTGGATGGATGGACGTGTTGGGTGGCGGGATGCCTGGATGGCGGCTGAGGATTAGAGGGACAGCAGGCAGCGTGCCATATGGTCCGGTCTAATCTGGGCCTGTGACATCATGGCTGATGAGCGGGGAGGCCCTCCATCCGTTTCCAAGCCTTCATTTCATTATGGGGTGTGTTAGTGTCAGCTGTAAGGAACAACAGTAGTCCCAAACAAGCAAGATAAACAAGTTGTGTACCCTCCCTCTTCGTTCCTCCTCTGGTCTCTTTCCTCTCCTCCTTCACTCACACATCAATGACATGTTTTGAGCCAAACCACAATGCTAACAGGATTGCCTCAGTACATTAGTGGTTCTGTAGTATTGCTAATGTGTTTAGGAAGCAGGCAGGCAATTTCTAATCTTGCTTGCACAAAGCCCTGCAGTCAGCTGGTCGGCTATTAGGACTGTTGTGTCGGCTGTGTCTGCAGTATTTTCTCAAAGTGTGTCATCTGTGTGGTGATGTCATCTGTTTACAAGTACAGCAGGGCAGATGATTTATTTCATCCCTGGTTCAAGATAAACTTGATTAATATTTAAATGCATGGGAATTGCAATGTCATGTGTCCCAATGCTGTCAACCAATGCTGAATAAAATACATTAATTATGAATGAATACAAGATAAAAGATGAAAAACAAACAAGACTATGGAACAACTACAACAAATTGATTTTTGATGAGAGGATTGACAGAAAAAAGTGTTTTTGACAAAAAATTATTACAAAAATGCTAAGGTTCAAGCTTTATCAATGTGGATATTTGCATATATTATCATTGGGTTTCGAATTAAGAGAACACATTTTTCATTGTAGGCTCTGGAAACTTGTCAAATGAAGTCAATTTATTTTCTAGTTGCTATTATTCCAAACAATTAATAATACAAATAATCAGTTTGGATATCTATCAATAATGGTTGGAATTTCTCTTGAATTGGAACAGCTGCATTTGCAACATCAACAGGCAAACATTAGACAAGGATTAAGGATACATACATTTTTAACATAACATTACAATTACTTAGACAATACAATTAAAAACCCTTCAATGTACATTTGATCTGGGATGAAACTTTATTTTGAGGATTGCCTGGTGTACAGAATAAAACTTGTGTCTACCCTTTTTAAATCATGGAACAATTTATCTCTGATTTGGTGATAACAACTTATTAACTATAACCTCTACGTTTGTCATGGACAAGCAAGACATTTCATTGGAAATAACAATAACAAATGTTGTATCCACATTCAATGGGAGTGTATGTAACGTATAATAATTATACATCTTGTATAAAAGTGATCTCATAATGATTTCCTAGAATTCAAAACATCTCGGCCAGTGTTTTCACCTGCACTACTGTTCTCATTGACGTAACATAAGATAATGTTTTTACTTGAGGGAAAAATATTAACAGCCGGCTGGACGGAGGCTGAGAGAAAAATCTGAAAGGAGGAAGAACACAAGAAGAAAATACACTTTGAGATGTAAATGTGTTTTAATTATTGTGAAATTATGCAGTTTATTTTTTCTCTCGTCAGTGCTTGTTTTCTAATAACCTGCCCATGAACTGTGTCAATTACTCACATAAACACTACCTGCAAGTATATTCTGGTGTATTGCGGCTCCTATATAACTAATTCCTTGCCGCCTCAGTCAGTGATCCAAAATGGTGGATATAGAAAGAACTAATGTATTTTATTCTGAGGGATAACTTTTATTTTATACTATTTCAATGTTCTATTCCCTGCTGTCAAACTTTACTGTAATATGCAGTTGTTTTTACTTCTAGCCACAGTCAGCATTTTCCCAGTTGTTGAACAAAACGAAAGACTTCCTTTAGTCTAGTTTTTGTTGAAGGTATTAAACTGTGTATGTGGATTATTTTACCTTGATGTAAAAGAAGGAGAGATGGCTGCTTTTAATTGAACTATTCATATCTTAGACTGCACTGTAACTTTTATCCATGTATTTTTTCTTTTAATGTTTATTTTATTAGCTTTTCTTTTTAATGACTGATTTTAAATGCCATTTTCTTAATCTCTTTCATTTTTTGTAAAGCACTTTGAATTGCCTTGTGTTGGAAAGTGCTATATAAATAAACTTGCCTTGCCTTGCCTTGCCTTGCCTTGCCTTGCCTTGATTAAAAACAGCAGAGCGGTTTCTCGTTTACCTTGCTTGTACACATGTATCTGTTTTTTCACAGCAGACAATTACTGTTGGCCAAACTGCTTTAGTACGGTATGTAAGTGCGTCAAGTCACTTCCTGTTCAGAATCTCCCTTTTTCCATGTGACTTATAAAAAGCATCAAAACACAATAGGTCGCTTCAGTGGGAGATGCCCCCCCACTCTCCCCCTGCGTCCCCCCTCAGTGGCACAGGTGCTTCCTGATGTGCTGACTGAGCCTCCAGATGATGACACTGTTTCCTAATAAGGCCCATGTTGTTACATTGCTCATCTCACTTCAGCTGACAAATGAGTACAGCGGGCTGGAATTTCACTCAAAATGACTCAAAGCAGTTCCAATAAAGAGCTAGTTAATAGTTTAAAATGTATGTAAACAGCAGCAGTCATTTCTGGTAATTCAGAGAATAAAAAAGAAAAATCATCACAAGGAACTAATAAACCAAGTTCAGCATGTGAACCTTGTGTACACAATGTTTGAAGTAAATATGGTCATTACTGATTAAAAAAAGGGAAGTTACGATAAGGACATGTCTGTGTTCTCTGTTAGTGAAAACACATTTTAAGTACTGCTAGCAGACAACCGTATTACGTTTTTATTGTTTGTTTTATAGTTATGGTACGTTGTGCATTTTAATGTTTTATTTATAATTTTTACAACTGTGGTTTTTTGGATGCTGTCCTATATCCGTCTTGCATTATGAGCTCCATAAGGACAGTTTTCTATGATCAAATTAAGTCAATACAACAAAACAAAGTTGGAACAGTTGAAACCTTACTGAATGATTGATAAAGAGTATAGGGAGGCTGTGGCTCAGTGAATAGTGTGATGGACTGCGAATCAGGGGATAGCAAGTTTGAATCCCACTGCAGTCAGCAGTTGTGTCCCTGGTCAAGACACTTCACCCCAAATTGCTCCTGTGGGGATTGTCCACAGTACTCAATGTATGTAAGTCGCTTTGGATAAAAGCGTCCAACAAATGACATGTAATGTAATATATTAAACAGTGAATTTGCTGTCAACATAATGTTCATTCATACTGTCCAAAGATCACAAATTA